GTCGGCCTGCGTCGACCGCGTCCAATCCAGCCACGCCCGAACGGAACACATCCAGAAGCTCCTCAGCCTCAGCCTCAGCAACATCCCCACCCATAATCGCCTCCACCCTAGAAGGCGGCAGGCCCAGCAGCGTATGCACACGGTCCTGCCACAGCGCCGCGCCATTCCGTAGCACCCGGAGCCTAATGACCAGGGCGCTGGGCAGAGCGGCGGCTGCGAAGCCCAGTGCTGCAGCTTCCGCCATTGCGGCCTCCAGCCGGGCTACGGTGGGAGCCTCGGCATTCTTCACCATCCGCGCTGAGAGACGCGAAATGGGGTGAAACGAGAGGGAGGAAAGCAGAAGGGATGGAGCAGATGGCTGAGAGCACAAGGGGGGAAATCTTGCTGAGCTGCTGAACCTGTGGCCCCGTGCGGCCTATCTGTCCCTCAGAAGTTCCCCCCAACATGCTTACCCCTAACGTTCCACCCCGTCCCGCTCACCCGCCATTTCCACCCATTTCTTGGCCCCATCCAGCAGCTTCTGCATAACCGGCAACCGCTCCAGCCGCACACCCAGCTGTGAACCCTCCGAAACCAGGGCATCGAGCTCCTCCACAGACCGGGGTGGAGAAATCGCGTCCGCAGCATTGACACCGGAGGCGCCTCCGGCACCGCCGGGCCCCGCAGCCGCAACTCCGGTACCGTCAGGAGCACCCATGGCCCCAGCCCCATCGCTCCCAGCTGCCATGATGTTGCCGCCTCCCGCGCCTCCGGACGCGCTGTCAATGCCATCGCCCCCTCCTCCCTTCCGCATCTTTCTCCGCCGCGAGCCGGGCCGAATCACGGGCTGTACGGTAGGAGGCCCATGAGCCTGCGCCTCGGCCCCATGCTCCACCGTCCCCGTGTTCTCTCCCCCTTCCTGCTGCTGCTGCTGCTCCTCCCGCTCGCGCTCCCTCTCCTCCTCCCCCTCCCTTTCCTCCGGCAGTGAAGCCCCCATTGCCAGCAGCCGCTGCACCCGGCGGTCCCAAGCAGTTGCGGCCTCCAGCTTGGACCGCAGCTGTTCGTACAGCTCGCAACCCTGTGCGCCCATCCGTGCCGCGTCCTCTACCGCCTCTGCCAAGGCGTTCAGGCTGGGCTTGGAAGCGGCGGCAGGAGGAGGGGACAGCAGGCGCCGGGCTGCGTCCTCCCACTCGCGGCGGCGAATGGCCTGGCGCAGCGCCTCCGCCTCAGGCATCTGCACACCCAGGCGCTCGCCTGGGGCACAAGGGCGGGGTGGCGGATGCACATTTGTGTTCGTGGGGTCAGGAGGACAGTTGAGTTGGCTGGGTTGGGACTACGTGCACCGGTAATGTACACATCTGTGCAAAGCTAGATTGAAGTGTGCACACCGGCAGGCGGACTGCGGTATGGGCGGCACCTTCGCAGCCATGCCTCCCACCATCCTCCCGCATGACCCGAAGCACAACACCTCCCCTGGAACCAATCCCGGCCCCCCTCAAGCTTGGCCTCGGGCAATGTTAAGCCAGGTGGTTTCCCACCCGCGTGCAGCAGCAGCCTCAGTTCCTTGAGCGGCGGCTGCTGGCGCGCCGAGCTGGCCTCCGCCACCCGCCTCCGCCATTCCGTGGCGCGGTCCAGCAGGTCACGGACCTGCCGTACCTCGGGAAGGTAGACCTGCACGCCGGAGCGAGGTTGGGAGGGAGGTGAGGCAAATGAAGATGCAATACGAACCACCTAGCTGTGGAATGTTACGTAGCAGAGCAGGATTCTGCAAGCCACCCCAGGAGCATGAAGGCCGGCAAATGCCATAATTGCAGAAGGATGTGGAGGGAGCTGAAGCCCAACCTCAGAGGCAAGAATGGAGGTTTGTGCACAGCACGGCCAGCAGTGGACGGGCCAGGAGCTGCACGATACTCTATTAGTGTCATTGCAGAGGCCTAAGCAACCAAGCCGCCCGGTGGGAATGGGGGGAGAGCAAGCTAGCTGGGAAGCAAGATAGGGAGCGCTAGGCCATGAAAATAGTCAGGACAGGTCTTACACCCACCGGCAATCCAGTCGCCAGCTCCATGAAGCCATCCAGCTGCTCCAACGTTGCCCGGGTGAGCACACACTCCTTGGCCACAGCCGCCGCAGCCTCCGCCCGCTCTAACAGGCCCGCCAGCCCTGCCAACTCCGGTACCACCACCCGCAAGGCGCCGTACTGTTGCTGCAGCTGCCGCAGCTGGGCCAGCGTGGGGAGGTCTTCGGGGGACACCGACCTTGGGACATCGGGACCGCCGGTGCGTCTTGTGCCCTTCGTGGTGGTTGTGGCGGTTGTGGTGGCTGTAGTGGCTGTTGCCATGGGCACTCCACCCGGCCCCAGCAGCTCGACTGCCGCCGCCGCTAAGTCATGGGCTGCTTCGATGCGGTGCCGCAGCTCGTGCAGCTCCCTAACCTCAACGGGCAGCCGGGAGCCCTACAGTGCGCGGAACAGGAAGCAGGGGTGGAGCTGAGGAGAAGGGGCAAAAAGGGAATGGCATGGGACGTCATACGCCGACGAGAAGGGAGAGGTGCTGGGGAGTGAGTGAGGATGGAGATTTGGTTGCGGGCTGCTGCACTCCACTCGTTGACGCGTCCGTCGTCCTTCCCAATCTATCTTCCTCTCTGGATGTGGTTGTTCTGACGTTTGCGTTGCACACGACACGGACGAACCTGCAGGTCCTACAGGGACCCACTCAACCAAATGGCGGCATGCGGTCCCCCATTCCCCCCTTATCCCCACTTCGGTCCTAACCCTTTAGCCCTTGCCCAGCACATAGCCCTCAGGCCGTCGTCACCCGCTCTCTTCCATCCGCTTGCTGGCATATCGAAAAGCAGGACCCCAAAACTTCGCACACTCTTCTGTAGTGATGCTCATTGCATCCAAGCAGACACATCCATTTGTTTGTTCACACACAACCTCCAGCTTAGCCGCCCGCCCTGGCCCCACCTGGGCCGCCAGCTCCTCCAGCGCCGCCAACGTCACCAACCGATGCTCCTCACGCTCCTCCTGCCCTCCATCACCTCGGCCGCCCCCAACCCCACCACCACTGCCCGCAGCCGATGGCGAGGCCGCTCGTGATCCACTCCCGCCCGCTGCCGCTCCCCCTCCTGCTCCACCCTGCGGCGCCAGCGCCGCCACGCAGCGCTCCCTCCACTCCTTGCCGACCGCCCGCATCTCCCTCAATCGGGGCAGCGCGGGCAGGGCGACTGGCGGGGGCTCCCAGTCCAGCAGCTCCTCCACCTGCTCCAGGATGGGACGGCCCCGGCTGCATGAGGCCACCTGGGCCACCCAGTCCTGGGCGCGACGACATTGCAACTCTACCTCCCTGAGAAGAAAGAGGGGGAGAGCCAGGGACGGTTAGCAGGATGGGGGTGGGTGGTAAGGATAAAAGAACACCGCTCCGGTGGAGGGGTGTTGAGGGGAAGCACTTGCAACAGTCAAGGAAACATGTGCCAATGTCCTTTCAAAGGGCCCGCTGGGGGCGGGGACGGCCAGGGGTAAAGCCGAAGCTAAGGCCAGGGCGGGGGACGGAATGGTAGCGGCGCCTCATGGACATCGCCATATACAGCACAGTGCAGCAACATGTCGGCAAAAACGCACGCTATCCTGGCGCGCTAAGCGACGCTACGAGTAAGTGTGTTCTTCCCCATTTCAGACCGATACACAGGCATATAGGCGCTACCATTTTCCACCACATTCCAGCATGTCAGCCGCACCTGGATCAAGCGGATCACAACTAAGCCCTAACCCCCCACCACCCCGCCCGTGTATCGGGCCCCATCGCCCATCCAGCCCCCACCTGGCCTCATCCACTCCCCGGTCGCCCCAGGTGAACTGCTCCATGCCCACCAGTGCCTCATCCACAGCACTGGGTCGGGCGGCGCTGGAGGCCAGTAGCGCCCGGGTGGCACGACACCAGGCGTGGGCGGCGGAGCCGTGGCGGGCGGCCAGCTGCCAGGTAGGAGAAATTCCACACGCAGGCCAGAATGGCAGGGTGCAGGGGACAAAAAAGGAATAAGAGGGACTAGATGGGTTGGCGTTGGAGTCACTTAAAGGTTGGTGGCCCTGTGTCCGGGTGATTGAGTCCAACGGCGAGAAGAAGCCACCATGGGTGGGTGGCGGTGGTTGTCTACTGAGGTGAGACAGCCGTGTGAAGGTAATGAAGGGCCCCTGGGATGAGCCGCTCTGACACACCGCACACACGGAACAATAACGCACCAACCTCCCAGTCACCCACCTCCGCCAGGATTCCCTGCTGTCCGGGTCCGGCAACTAGCACAGCACCATGCACCGGCCCAAACACGGCACTGGGCTGTGGCTTGACCCCCAACACCGACTGCTGTTGCTGCTGCTGATGAATTGCCATGGTGCTGGTGGCACAGGAGCCCCCTCTGCCGCCGCCGTCGTGGCTGCTGCTGCTGCCGGGGCCTGCACCGATGCCCTCCGATCCAACACCCAGGCGCGTATCAGGTTCCATCTTGGGTGAACATGGCGGCGGTGCGGGTGCTGGCGGCGGTGCCCCAGGGCCCTGTATCTGCTGCAGGGCCGGGGACAGCTCCGGTGGATCCACAGCGTCCATAGCCGCCGAAGTTGCCAAGAACGGTGCGACTGCAGCAACAGCACCGGCAGCTTGCTGGGGGCCTTCCAGGGCGCCCTTTCGCTCTTCTGCTCGTGCCCGACGGGACACATCCTCCAGAAGCTGGGGAAGGGGCAAAGGACAGAGAGAAGAGAGGGGTACATGGGTGGGTTGCAGGGACTGAGCGAGCCCTCGCAGGAGTACGTATACGTACTTAAAGACACATAGAGGGGTCATGGGACGCATGTGACAAGGTAAGGCCTGGAGGAAAGCTATATGTTAAAGGACAGTTAATGTCTCAGTCCAAGGCGTTCAGCTGTGTCCCATAGGGCCGTCGAGACCCTACGGGCGCCTTTGACACCATCATGCGGGCACCAGCTGCGAAGAGGTGCATGGAAACTGCGAATGTCTCAGCAGCTGAGCATCTCAGCCAGCAGCAGTCCCAACCAAATCGGGAAGACGCACCTGGTGCAGCTCCTTAATGCTGTGACGGAACGCAAGTCGTCGCCGATCCGGAGGGCAGCCGCACAGTGCCCCCGCGTGGTGCAGGCACACGATACGGCCGGCCGGGCACCGGCAACACTCCACACCACTCAGATGCAGCATGGAACGACACACCGCACACTCCTCATCGGACGACTCGTCTCCCTCGCAGCAGGTGCTGCTGCTGGCAGCGGAGGCAAGTCCAGTGCCGCCAGCAACGGCAGTGCCTTCGCTGCTGCTGCCGCCCCGACCTGAGCCGGCACCGGGCCGCACTGCCCTACGGACCTTGCCGCCGCCCCCATTCCGGCCCCTGCCACCGCCGCCGCGGCCCGAGGCCTTGCTGCCACCAGGGCCCCGACCGGCAGGGGCACCTGAGGCGACTGGGACGTCAGCAGCGGCGGCCGCTGCTGCTGCAGCAGGCCCCGCCGGCAGCAGTGCCGCTGCGGTCTCAGATACCCAGCGTCGGCTGCGGATGACACCTGATGGCAAAGGAGGTGTCCGGCACGGGGTTTCCTGACCCGAGCCCCTGAGGATCAGCACCTAGGCAGGTCGCCTAGGTGCTCGATTGGCGATAAGACTAGAACAGGAGGAGCGCCGATGGGGACCCGCGTTGGTGCTTCGTATGTAAGCAGGACAGGGCTAGGGTGGGCCCTGTGCAACGGCACGGGCAATAACATAGATAGCCGAGGCAGCCGCTTCCACAGAAAAGCATCAGCAAGCAAGGCCCCAGAACATACAAGCTTAAAACACGGACACGTGCGGATCAGATTGTAAAGCTTGTACGGCTTCACAAGGCATGAACAACTGCGTCGTACCTTGCTCCCACAGCGCCAACCGGAGGCGATGTTCCTGTTCTATCACTCGACACAGCTCCGGAACCAAAAATGTGGCTAAGCTGGGACTGCATTCACCGCGAGCTGCATGTAGCAGCATCTCCTGCTGGTTAAAGGCCTGCCGTGCCGCGTGTGTGCGTCGGGGACCGGCGGGGAACGCGGAGTTATGGGGATCAATGTGAGACGGGCCCGAGGCAGGGCCCGGAAGGCATAGTGGGGGGTTGGGAGGAGTTGGGAGGAGAGACCCGGAGCAAGTGCCGTGCGGACGGAGACTGCTTGCGAGTGCGACGGAAAAATTCCGGTTGGCCCCAAGCCAGGAGAGGGCGTCAGCTTTGCCGGCCGGCCCCGGATGCCTCCATACATTTCCCTTTCTTCCTCCTGACACTATGCTGACGCAGCCCGGCGGACCCCTGCTCCGGCCCCGCCCTTTCCAAGCTCGGTGCCTCCGGAGCTCTCCCAGTGCCCTAGCCGGTCCCGCCATCCACCTTACCGGTTTGCGGCGGCTCAGCCGCTGTCGCCGCTCCGCCTCCTCCGCGAATCTCAACCAGTCGGGTGGTGCCATGCTGATGTGCTCCTCCACATGCACACCCAGGCCCACGGCCGCGTGGTAGGCGCCAGGCCACGTCACCACAAACTCACCCGCTGCCTGTGTTACGCTGTACACAAGCACGCCAGCGGCACGCAGCGCCCGCGGGCTCAGCATCACGGCAGCGGCCGAGCCGGCGCCACCGCCAGCACTGCCGCTGCCGCCGCCATGCGACAGCTGCGCAAGCATCAGCTGCTGCGAGCCGTCACCTGCGCCGCTGGCGCCGGCGGGCATGGCGTCCCGGACTGCCGCCTCGAAGGCCGCGCGGTGTGAGTTGGGCACGGCGTAGCAGCGACGCGGATCACCCAGATGATTATAGCTGACGTCGTACATAAGGTGTTCCTCCAGGTGCCATGTGGTAGAAGAAAACATCATGCCCACTTGAAGCCAGGGAGTCGTTAATCCGGGGAGGGGGGCAGACACGTGGCGCAGCAGAGAGGGATGCGGACCCTGTGCAGAGGAGGTAGAAAGGGAGGGATATTAAGAGGACCGGTTTAAGAAAGCCCGAGAGCTAAACCCCACAAGATTCCAAGCACAAGCCGATGTGTTGAATAGACGGCGCTTCAGGTGTGCAACTCGGACAAGCTATGCGAGCAGAACCCCAACGCGCCCAGGCCCTAACACACCATTCTACTCACAAGCCACCACCACCACCACCACAACAACAACTAAACGAATGGAGACCCTAGGAGAGTAGAAGAACAAGCCCGCAGACATACACTGCCGGTACAAATAGATACGTATTCTGAGTAAGGAGCACTCAAGGAGCACTCATCCGGACACAGGCAGGCCCACACACACCTCCAGGCGGGGCAAGTTGTTAAGATTCCACTTGTGTACCGCATACGGCGATGGCGGCGCTGCGCTGCCATCGCATCGAGGGAAGCCGGTGCCGTACACCGCGCTGTCCAAGTCGACGGCCATCAGCACCTCCACCTGCTCCTCGCCCTCCTCCACCAGCCGCCAAAACTCCGACTCCACCTCCTCCCAGCTTGCCTGTAGGCCGCCGCGCCAGAGCAGCCGTGAAGAAGTGTAGGGCTCCATGCGAGATGTGGCGACCGGCCCGAGTCCAGACAACACACCAGCCAACTGGAGCTGCCGCTACTGCTGCTGCTCTGCTGCTAAAGTTAAACCTCTTCCCAAAACCAACACCCCCGGTTCTAGATCTCGAGTCCCGGCCCGCAGTGCGGTCCTCCCGCAATTCCCTTTCTCTCCACGGAGCACGTGCAGACAGCCATACAAATAGTACCGGAATCCTTTCGCCGCTCTCAGCTCCGAGACCATACAAATGCGTTGTGTGCCCCGATCCAAGACGGGCCTACCCAGCACACGCTTGCGCCCTCTGCGACCCCATCGACCCACCTTTCTGGCTTTGGTCTCTCCGCCCCAATAGTTCCGCTTGAAGCTGTGCGCCTGATACTCAAAGTCCTGGAACGCCACGTCCTCACCGGGCATAGACATAAGGCTGCCGCCGGCGTCTACGCCACAGCTGGTGCTGCACTGCGGACACAGCCAATCACCCTCGGGCACTGCTGGCAGCGGCGGTGTGAGACAGAAGAGGTGGAAACCCCGGTCGCAGCGGTCGCACAACAGGATCTGGTCCTCCAGGTGCCCACCGCGACACAGCTCACAGACCAAGGTGCTCAAGTCATTTACCGGGGGCTGGACGGCTGTTGCGGGATCGGCAGTCGCTCCGGCGCTGCCGCCACGGCTGCGCCCCGCCTTCCTGCCAGGCCTGACCCTGGCAGCGCTGCCGTCCTTGACACCGATGCCGAAGCCTCCGTTCGCAGCTGCAGGTGCCCTCTTGCCGCTAGCCTGCTGCTGCAGCTGCCGTGCGCTGCCGCTGGACTTGGTTTTAGCGGGCGCAGGTGGGGGGGACAAAGGACCTGCAAACTGCGGGGTGGGGTTGACGCGCTAAGGTTACCTGTTCTGGTCCTGCCCATGGTCACGGCAGACTTAAGCATGGTGGCATAACAAGCTCGGGGATCAGTACCATGGTGATAGGGTTTCGGACGAAGTTCTGCACGGAGCCGGGCTGTTCAGGCCCTGTGAGCGGCACGTCACCCCTCCTGATATGAAACGACGGCTTGCGAATCGCCCTGGCGGCAACTCGCCCACGTAACACGAGGAAAGAATCTCTTGTAACAAGCGGCGGCCTGACAGCCGATGCAGTTCCGTCGATTCGCTCGCGCATAGTCCGTCTTGTAGTCTCGTTCACATCGGCTGTTACACACTTCATACATCCCGGCACATTGGTCACACAGCCAAGCGCAAGGCCCCGCAAATGCATTTGCCTCAGAATTTCACAGACCTTACTCCCACCCGCTTACCCGCGTGACCAAGTCGTCTCCAGACCAGCCGCTGGCTGCCGATACTGCCCGGCGCCGCTTGGAGCCACGCTCTCGCGGCCTCTGATCCTGCTCCTGCTCCTGATGGTGCTCTTCCTGCCGCTCGTCCCGCCATGGTTCGTGCGGCTGCCCCTCGCCGCCAAGCTTGGCGGCGGCACTGCTTCCCTTGTGAAAATCTGACCTCAGCCCCATCATGGCCTCCAGAATTTCCGCAGCCTCCGCCATATCCGCCTCCTCCGTTCCGACCTGCACCGCTGCCAGCACATCCTCCGTGGGCAACAGCTGCGCCTGCCGTCGTCGTGACTTGGGCTGGTGCTGGGACGGGGGCTGGAACTGGAAGTACTGCTCTTGCAGCTGGTGCTGGAACTGGGATGGTGCCCGGGGCCGCGGTGGCTGGATGGCATCCTGCGAAAGATCCGGACCCCGCTGCCGGGTGCGCTTGCCGTCAACGGATCCAACTTCCACGGCGCGGCCCGCCCCAGTCACAGCCTGGTCTCCCCTGGCGGCTGCGATGGCTGACCCTGCGACAGGTGGATCGATCTTCTCGCCACCATACCTTGCCCGGGGCTTGCGCTTTCTCACATCCAGAGCCGTGGCTGTGGGAGAAACCTGACCGACATCGCCTGCCCAAGCGGTGCTGCCACCAGCAGCGTCGGCGACCCTCGGGCCGGCATCTGTGCCGCTTTCTGGAACCACTTTTGGCGCAGATACGGACGGGGCGATGCCGACGCCGGCGGCGGCAGCCCCACTCATGCCGCCGACTTCAACACCATCCTCATCGGTTGTGAGCGGGGGGAGATGGACGGGACCTTCGGCGCGCTTGCGCTTCAACACCCCCTGCGCACCAACTCCCTGCAACTGTGACTCGAGCTGAGGCGTTAAGCACGCTTCATCGGTGTTACAAGTGGGCGACTGCAATGTCTGCGGCGGCAAAGTTGGTGACAGCTCCTGCTGCTGCTGCTGTGACGGTAATAATGATGGTGATGCCTGAAACGGCTGCTGCTCCTGCCGCGTTTGGCGTAGTTGCTGCTTGTGTTGATGGTTCAGCATGATGACCCGCTGCTTCACCAGCTGTTGCTGCTGCAGGAGTATCTGCTGTTGCTGCTGCAGCAGGGGCGGTTGTCGCGGCTGTTGCAACGCATCTCCCGCCTCCATATCCAGTTCCTGCAGATCCTCCAACCCTGGCTGCCCAACATGCCCCGCAGCCTCAACCTCCGCCTTCACCGCAGCCATAGCGGCTGCTGCTCCACCTATGGTACCGTGCTTCCAGTCCTCGTAGGGCAGAAGGTGCTTCACGTACAACTGCCGCATGCCGTAAGCCATGCTCGTTTGTCCCTTCTCGTTGATCTACAAGGAGGAACATGATGATAGCGTACGCCAGGTTAGAAGCCCCCGTGCCCTCCGGCACCCCTGAACCAAGCCCCACCCCAAAGGTCAGGCAACGGGAGCAGCGCGCACCTGCAACACTTTTGCAACTTCTCTCCACTTCTTTTGCTCAGTAATCGATTCATAACCACCTCGCCGTTTCACCGCACGATACAGGACGAAGATATCGATGTCCTTGCCCAAGAACTGCGGATACTTCCATTTGCATAGCTGCTTGCCCTGGGAATGCAGGAAACGATCATAATCCTCGTAGAAGTCCAGCTGAGCCTGCTTAAAGTCGCGGTGCTGGAGTTCGTGGACTTTTTGTTTACGTGTGGGAAATTTGAGCAAAGATAAGTTCAACGCACACGGCGGCTCCCATCCTTTCGGCGGAATAATCTTGCATATGCCATAAGGTTCAGCTTGCGGACGTATGGAGGCCAAGTAACGCAAAGGCTCTTCCCACTCGTCCTCCGTGGGGCAGAAAGTAGGAGCCGACGGAATGCTCATGAAGGCAGTACCCTCTTGAGCTCCACCGCAGCTTGTCATGTTGTAGTCTGCTTATCCAACCTGCTTACGACTCGTTTGCCCTGGTGCCGTCGGTTCGGCGGGACAAGTCGGTCATGGCAAGGATTTTTCATACATGAACAAGAGGCATAATGCATAATAAAGTTGTCCTGATACTTATTTGACAATGAATGAACAATGCAGCCTTGTGCTTGTTGCAGGACGCCTTCTCGTGCTCAGTCCACGACCCGATGGGGGGGGGAAATAGCCGATGAGGGCGTTCGCTGCATATTGCCTCAACATGAGGATCATGACGCATATGACTTACTTGTGACAAGTAACATGGTCTATTTAGCTGGAGCTCCATGTAATGACTGAAAGTGCTGACTTTGCTCACCAGGCTAATCTTCACAGTAAGCAATCCGTTTGCATTGCGCAAACACGCAGTAATGTCCCGACATCCTTATCATCAGCGTGCTCATGACCGTGCCCGCGATAAGAGAACTCCTAAATATGACCGGCACCCGGGCACTTTACTCCCTTATGTGACGACTTGCCTTGGTGATGTTGGGGAGTTGCTTTCGGAAGTAGCGGTTAAAATGGTATAAGTCATGTTTTGTACCCATGGATTGCATGCAATCCACCGCCTCGTCCTGGGGTATACATCGGAGCGTTCTATGGGTAGTGCAAAGAAATCGCGAGTGGGTTGCAGTCCATAACGCAGGTAAACCTTCACACACCTAACCTGAGCTGCATTATTGTAACCGAAGTCAATTTCAGGAAGCAAGGCCACACTTTGCAAACAGATGCTTGGATGATCTTTCCGGCGACTAGGCTAAATCACCTGCTTTCATGTGTCCGGTACTGCAAAATCACCTAGTCCTTATAAAGCAGTTAAACGAGATGTTTGAGCAATCGTGGGGCTGTGTCCTGAAGGGCACCGTTTTACTCAAGGCATTGTTAATGACAGGTGCATACTTAAACGTAATCACCATTTACGTAGTGCTCTTTCACCATCAATTATTTTAGGCTCTGTGAAAACAGGAGGCATTGTGTTGACGACAACACCGTTGTTTGTTGACCCCGTCCGGTACATGGCCAAACAACGGCAACGCGCTGTCTTAGGAAGAATGGAAGCATTTCAAAGGAAGTAACTTACGTTAATTGTTCCGTCTATTAATAGTTATACAGGGCAATACCACAGGAGCTTGGCTCGCGACCTATCGTGGATAGGTCAGAAGCTACATCGCAAAGGCTCACATACATGTCAATAATGGTAATCATACTGCTTACCAGGCTGGTATTCCAGGTGTATGCTGAATTCCGTGGCAGGTGGTGCGATGACTGAGCTTGTTGCTAAGCGGACGCATATTGAAATATTCCATGGTTTTAGCTTTCCACTAACTTTGCAAGCATTTTCATTTATCTCGAACCTGTGCGTCCTTAGGAACAAGCCCAATTACTCTACCTTAGACCATTCCATACACTTAAATACATAGGCTCGCCGGCAAGCTTGCTCAAAGGCGATGGCATGTTACTGAAGTTCCTGGTGGCGCAACCTGAGATCGCGCGCTTTCGCGTGATCTTACAATCTGGGGACCTTTGCACCTTGCAAAACTGATGCACGCTGACCTTCGGGTTTGCCCGTGGTGCGGAGCTGGCCATTAGGACCTTCATTAGCGGGTCCAGCGGGTGCAAAGAATGTGCCGGGCTTCCGGGCTTACACCTTGCTCACTGCATTGCAAGCGGAAGTTGCGGGCTAAACAGCCAAACCGTAATTCGGGCTTTCTTTGCAAGCGCACATGCTGGTGGCCGACGTGCTTACCCCCTGCCGTTAAATTCAGCACCTTAATGACACAAAAAGCGTTGGGATAGCCATGACTGGTCTGATAGGAGAGTGCACAATCCGACGTGGTCCAGCCATCGAGCGGTGCCTGTTCAACGCATGACTACAATTCGCATGTTCTTAAGAACCCAGTACCAAGATATACATGCACACCTCCGTGGCATGCGTTCCAGGATGATCGATGCAGCGGTCGTGCATGGATTGCGGTACGGAGGATTTCAGCCGTACTCGTTCGTGTTGATCCTTGTGATGGCGCGTGGTGCATACGCGTTGGCGCTATAATTGACGACCAAGTAGAGCTGCATTTCAGATATCCACGACTCATTTGGTTTGGGGCGACTGGACCTTGATGCAGTTGAAAGGAGCAGCGGACGAAGTGGGGACATGGCACCAGCGGCTCTGCCTCAATCAAAGCGACTATCCAAACCGGCGTTTGAGTTATAGGCCTTAATGTTACTGGCACAACTTATACTAAACAGACAAACCGGAAAAGCCGATGGGGTAGGGAACAAGAGGCTGGAGAACTTCTTGCAGTTTGGGCTTGCAAACAAGACACAGACCGGCGAGGAGACCTTGTTTGAGCTTACGTTCAAGGAAGATAATGTGACTAAGGCTGGCGCGCATCGAGATGGATACATTTGGCAACATTTGATTTTGGGTGCTGACGTGCCCAGAGGGAAGAAGCGAATATATGGACCGAGGTGAAATAAGAGGGATGCGATAGCGTGAAGGTGCAGGATTGTTCAGGGATGTAATATTATGACATAATGCGAATAAATGTGCCCTGCGGTCTTGCGGACATAAAGTGCGCAGCTGGTCCAGCATTCGGCCCTGACGTAGACGCAAACACGCGCTCTGTAATAGGTCTACGCTGGCGGAGGATGAAGGGACAGAAGACACTCAAGTAAACAAGGATCCCATTTGCTGAGGAATGAATTTGGTTGTTCGAATTCGGCAACGCGACGAAGATGAATGACAGGGTTGAATAGGGAGTCGACCATAGTGTGAATATGGTCGAATCTATTTATGTTTTCGGGCTGCCTGCTTCAGGGATCAATTGCTTCATCAATGCTGATATCATGTATGCTGATATCATGTATGCTGATATCATGTATGACTTTCTTGAACCAGTTGATAAAGCAGTGCTGTCTTTACCAAGAGTTTATAAAGCTATATTCATATAAAACATATAAAATGCTCTAAATTGCAAAGGTGTTGTCTGGTTTGGTCAGCTCTTAGTCATGTAATCGGGTCCACCGTACATGCATGACGCATGTTTCACAACTCACAATAATGCTGTGGATATATTAAACGATCAATTTGGCAACTGGTTGTAGCATCTTTATGTAAAACGCTTAATGAAAATGTCGTCGCTTTAATGTTGACAGTGAAACAACTAAACGGCTATCTTCATATGCCGGCATTATCCTCACTATTACCTACCACATCATAGGATAAAACTTAATTCTTATGTTATACTCTTGTTGAACTGGTAGGGCCTTCTCCCTGCTGCGCTGCATGCACACCAGCTCAAACTTTGTAGAAACTCGGACCTAGAATAAGGACCGCACCTTGTCAACTTCCTAGCTGCGTTTGACTATCATCTTGAAATGGGACCGGGCGTAGCTTGCCTTCTAGATAAGTACATATGTGCTGTGCCGTGATTACCAAGGCTTTTGCTGCGACGGTTATGGGCTATAATTTCTAAGTTGGGAGGCTAAGCGTTGGGGTACAACTTAGGTTTAGACGATACGGGTGAAGGTCTTAAAGCTAGGGTAGGGACCAGCATCGCATGTTGTAAACTAATGGAGGAGATCCGGGAGGAGGGTTGCAGAGCGGTCAGGATGCGGCGGAGGGTCGGCCACAGGATAGGGATAGGAAAGAGTAGGATAGAAATGTGGACCCCCCCAGGATAAGGAATGGCAGAGGGCCCAGGATGGCGGCATATTTGGAAGGGTCGACGCCAACCCACCAAGGATGAGGATAGGAGAGGGGAGGGGAGGGGATGCAGTCACCAGGATGCGGGGTGTGTGGCTCGAGGATATAAAAAGGATGGTGGCGGTGCAGGATGGATCCAACCGACAGGATGCGTGCTAGACACCCCCCTTCAGGATGCGAGGATAGGCACCGCTCTGCACCCCTCTGATCCGGGACCGGTTTGATGATGATTGAGATAGTGAGAGGCTGGCGGTGGATCCACATATGTTTGTTTCCGACAGCAGGCATCGGGGCGAAGATGTGCCAATACCTGCGGTGGGTGGGGTAACCTAAGCACTATGGAGACTATGTCTTGCCGGAACAACACCTCACACTGATGTGTGTTTGGCCATTGGCTGTCAACCGACCGCATGGCAGGGAGCGTCCAGCACGGTGGTGTCGGGTCTGTGATGATCGTCAGGCAGTAGAGGACGAGCGACACGCGTTGTTCGAATGTCCTGCATACGCAGGCATACGTGCCGAGCTATGGAACTTAGGCATGGCACCAGGGGTGGCAACGGACGCGGTAATGGGTATTGAGGGCCAAGACGGGTTAGCACATGTCTTGGATTGCACGTAGGTTGCAGTGCATAAACGACAAATGCGGTTCACGAGCTTTCTTTTCCTATTATTACTACTATTCAAGGTTCGACACTGACCCTCCTGGAACTTGCGGGCTCCCCCGTACCTCCCAAGTTTTCCTTACGGAGGGGCCCCCGTACCAGGCTCCTGTACCGGCCGAAAACCTTACGGGGACCCCCGTAACCCCCGCAAAACCTTTACGGGGGCACTGTCCTTGGCTGAAACGCTGTGGAAAGTGACGCTTTGCATTTTTTGCCCTGTAAATCGTTATTTCTCGTTATTTTCTCGTGAACCATTACACTCGGGGACACGGCATACTCAGCGAAAGCCAAGCGCCTTGGCCGCCGCGGCCGCCCATCCCTTCTGCTCCTCTGGGGCCGCGTCTTCGGCAGACAGGTCCACTACGTCCAGTGTTTGCATTACTCTGCAAATTAGGAAGGAGCCGTCTTCAGGTCCCAGACATTACGCTGCGGTGCTTCGAGGCCAAAGTCCCACCGATCCTGTCGTGCGGTGCAGATGTGGGGTCCAGACGCTATCTGGGAGGTACTTGGGACAACGGGCATACGGCGGGCGACGGAATGGCAGAGATGGGGGCAGCGAAGAGGGTCAGGGCAGAGAGAGTGCGGCGCTCCTGACAAGATGTGGGAAAAGGGTTAAAAGTTCGCGAAGGACCGCGGGGGTCTTTGAGAGATCCATGGTGGATCCCATGGTACATTGCAGAAACTTTTCTTAAGGGGCATTTTTGGTGCAAAGCTCCCTACCTCCCAATAGGCAACTTTTCGCGGAAACGTCGCAGCTACCGCTGCACTACTTTTCGGCACAACGGCTTTGGAACCGTGACAGTAAGCAGTCCGCAACACTTGCGCGGGCCGTGTTGGAGGGGCAGATCGAGGTATGGCTTGGAGACCATGGGATCTCATGGGAAGACCACATGAGCACTTCCGTTATCTTGGCTTTGGTTACGGCCGCACTTACGCGATGGACACAGCAACGCAGAGAAGGCACGGATGATTGTGGGACTGGGGCTCCCAGTCGATGCGCTGCTGAAGGAGTTTCGAAGGCGGTTGTTGGCGCTGATAGGAACAGCCTGAGATCGCCGTGGACCCCAGGGGCTTCCATGAGTAGCCGCAATCGTGGGAATGCAGTTGCGGTTTGTCCGTGTGGAATGCGCATGACCAAAGGAGATTGTCAACGCCATTTTTGGGACTGTACCGTGGCGGTAGCCCTGAAAGTCAGTTTTGCGTGTTGATTATGCAGACGCGACCTCTGGTTGGCATCCGCCTTTCTATTCATATCCAAGTGTGGGATATAGCCTGCGAAAGTTCATGGGACTTTGGTCGTATAAGGCTGTATCAAGAGGGTGTGGTTTCTTACCCTAGCTCGACTGCCATTAAAAGGACTGCGACCGCTGTGGTCTCGGATTTCTGGGCACGTCTTACTGGGTTGGCGGCAAGAAGACTTGCTTCCAAAGACTGGCAATCTACATCATCTGACCATCCGTTCCTTGCTCTAGACCAATGTGACAAACTTATTTTTCATGGACCCGACAATATCTAACGTGTATCTATATGTCCTTTTCTGACATCATTTGGTTGCTAGCTGTGGCTATATCGTCAGTGACGCTTCGCCATATAAGGCCCACACGATTGGCGCTTATTTAGGGCGTTGCAAGCGAGCCGGTTGAGCTGTATAACAACAACTACCAGAACAGACTCGTCGGCGCAAGCAGAGCCATATCAAAGCAAGTACTGAGCGGTAACGATATGCGAATGCATGGCTTGGATTTGTGGCCAGACAATGCTCCCTTCCCGTCTGGCATGGTCTACGGACACATCACGCCCCTTGCGGGAGATTGTGCTCCAGCATTGTATTGAGGCTGGCCAAACCGCAAATTTCTAACCTAGGGTAGTCCACGACTTCATGGGTGACTGGACGTGGCTGCTAGTAAGATGTTTATTCCCTTCTATAGTAACGGCAAAGACCAACGTCCTGCGCAATTTTCGGTGCGAAAGACTGCTTAGACGAAAGGCCCGTACTGCTGTGCTGTTGATTCATCACCTCTGCAAAGAAACTGCATGTGTTCATGTTTGCATCGCGAAGGTCTGTAATATGAATACACGTAGTATTCTTATTTACTGTACTCGGCTGTGCAATCCGACTACGTCTCAAAGAGTGCACACCCGTCCAAGAAGCCCCTCATAGTCCCGCGAAACGTCCCTCAATGCGGGGTATCTAGGTGGCGGCACAACTCGCAAGTTGCAGCAACATCACATGCCTTGCCCTGTCCTCGGATACAAGCTTCTCACCTCACACCTCTCGCAAAAAGAAGTGCAACCACAGTTAAGTGCGTTGACACTGTAATCCCCTCAGGCAGGCTGCGCTCCACACGCATGTTCTTCACGACAGCCACAGACCCGTGTCAAGACGGCCGTCTCGTCTCGCATATGATACATTTGGCGCACACTACGCCACCACGCGGATGCCAACCCCTAGTCGCAAGTAACACCCGCCGCTCATATCTCAATGCATAAGGATGCACCGCCACCACGCGGATCGGCAAACCCCATGGGAAGAACAAAAGCAATCCCAAACACTTTTGCCCCATATGCTGACGGCAACCTCCCTAGCAGCTTTGCAACGCAGTAGATGTTGCTGCCAAACGCCGCAGCGTAAGCCAATTTATGCTGGCAAGATTACAAGACCACCATCGAGCATAACAAATCCGACAAGTCTCTCAAAAAGCACGCACATGCACACACGAAACACGCTCCTAGAATCACCGGAAAGTGTAGCAGGCAGGCTGACATCCCCCACCCCTACATCAGCCCCGTGCTCGTCGTGGTCTGGCTCCTCGAACGGGTCCATCTACCCACGCTCTTTCATTAGCCATACATTGAAAATCCCGCGAAATCATGGCCAGTTCCGTCACGCAACGTAAAAGTGCGTCTTCGTCCTTTAAGCTGTCACGGCCACTTTCGCGATTTGCGGCAGCTGCACACTGGGGTTCACCTCGGGAGTGTTCTTCTCAGCCGGGGGCACCAGCTGCCAGAACTTACCCACCAACACCTCCCAATTGCCCAGGATAGCCTTAGCCTTGGCGCTCCCAGTGCGCTCATGATGCGCTTGGATAAGCCCCTTGAGTTGTGCCTCGCCGGCCGCCGTCACCACACGTTGCACTGCCACAATCTCCGTGTTGACCTTGTCACAGAAAGAGCCGTCCTCGTCAAGGAAGTACCCCAAGCCACCAGTCATACCAGCAGCCACGTTGCGGCCGACCGAGCCCAGCACCACCACGCAGCCACCGGTCATGTACTCACAACAGTGGTCGCCCGCGCCCTCAACCACGGCTTCCGCCAGCGAGTTGCGTACAGCGAAGCGCTCACCAGCACGACCATTGACGAAGAGCCGCCCACCCGTGGCACCGTACAGACACGTGTTGCCCACTAATGACGCCTCCTCGCTCTTGAAGGGGCTGTTTGGCGGCGGCACGATGGCAATCTCACCACCGTTCATGCCCTTACCGACGTAGTCGTTGGCCTCACCTAAGAGCTTGACCTCCAGGCCCTTAATGCAGAAGCAACCAAACGACTGGCCGCCCGAGCCCGTGAGTGTTAAGCGCACTGTGCCCGCAAAACCGTTGTCGCCATGGTGCTTGGCGATCATGCCTGCCACACGGCCCAGTGCCGAGCGGTCCGTATTGATAATGTCAAAGGATTTGTGCACGACCTTCTCGTTGACAATCGCATCCATGACCTCCGCATCCGCCAGGATGCGGTCATCAAGCTGCGGTCCGTTGTCGTGCACCTCCTGGCTGCGGCGCACGCTGGATGAACCCGATGGGCCCGCATAGGTGGTCAGGAAGGACAGGTCCAGCCCTTCCGTCTTGGCCAGCTCGACAGACCGCTGCTTAAGCAGATCAGCACGACCGATAACCTCATCTAGGCTCTTGTATCCCATTTCTGCAAGGCCCGCGCGAACCTCCTCAGCCACAAAGTGGAAGTAGTTGACCAGATCCTCCGGAGCGCCAGGGAACCGCGCACGCAGCTCTTCGCGCTGAGAGGCCACACCGACCGGACAGTTGTTAGTGTGGCAGACGCGTGCCATAATGCAACCAGTCGCGATCATGGCCACAGTGCCAAATCCGAACTCATCGGCGCCAAGCAGTGCTCCTAGCAGCACATCACGGCCGTTGCGGACACCACCATCGACGCGGAGTACAACGCGCTCGCGCAGCTCATTGCGAACCAACGTCTGGTGAGTCTCCGCCAAGCCCATCTCCATCGGCCCACCAGCGTGCTTGATGGACGAGATTGGCGACGCACCGGTACCACCATCGTGGCCCGACACCTGGATGATGTCAGCGTTCGCCTTGGCTACGCCAGACGCAACCACGCCGATGCCCGCCTCAGCCACAAGCTTCACACTGACCTTGGCCTTTGGATTAACCTATAGGTGGGGAATAACAGTCCGTTAAGAATTTTTATAACTGGCTGCGAGATGGCCTAGCGTAGCCGTATACACTAATATACGTGTCCGGTTGCACCGGCAGTCAGGCTGCCTTACTATTGACCAGGGTGCAGAAAGCGTTCCATATCCACAGTATATCCTTATGCCCATGTTAGTAAGATACGACACACACCTGGTGCAGATCGTAGATAAGCTGCGCCAGATCCTCAATGGAGTAAATGTCGTGGTGTGGTGGGGGGCTAATCAGCGGCACACCGGGCTTAGAGCGGCGCAGCTGTGCAATGTAGGGCGAAACCTTCTGGCCTGGCAGCTGGCCACCCTCTCCAGGCTTGGCCCCCTGCGCAATCTTAATCTCCAGCTGGTCGGCATTCATAATGTATTCCGGGGTTACACCGAAGCGCCCGGACGCGACCTGCTTGATCTTCGAGGTGGCAGTATCGCCATTGCGCAGGCCACGCAGGTGCGGCACGGACGCCGACTTGCCATCGCCGTCCACATCCGACAGGTGCAGCCAGCGCGTGGGATCCTCACCGCCCTCCCCGCTGTTGGACTTGCCACCGATACGGTTCATGGCAATCGCGATAGTCTCGTGCGTCTCACGCGAGATGGCACCCAGTGACATACCGCCAGTGCAAAAGCGCTCCATGATGGCAGCAGCCGGCTCCACCTGCACACCGGTCCGAAGGGTAGACTCGGATTAGCTCAAGCCGCATAACTTGGGTAAGGGTCATACGATGCATAGCGGCTACAGGCACATCCGTGCTCAATGCCTACGACCGGAAGCTCAAGTTTCTCGGGAAGCCGAAATGCGACTGACTCAAGACCAGCAAAGCATCCACACCTGGTCAACGGAGATCGGGCCGCGATCCGACTTAAACTCCAGACAGTCACGGAGAACCGCAACCGGGGCCTCCACGAAATGCTGTTGGTAGGCCTTGTATGCCTCCGGGTTTGCCTGTGAGCCATTGCCGAGGCCAATCGCCTTATGCAGCAGCTTAGCCATCTCCTGGTTGTTGCTGTGATACTCGCCTGGAAGGAGCAACCGTGGAGGTGGGTCAGGCCCTCAGCTTATAGCATTCTCATTGGAAATGCGGTAGGTCAATTGCCGCATATTAAAAGATGCTGATCGGTGACCAAGCACATGTGCTAGCATAAGCCACTCCAGCCACTATGTCGACATCTTTGGCCAGGCATTAGTTAGCGTCTCTTAAGAGGCCTTACCCTTGGGCCTGGACTGGATGAAGCCGTAGTCCTCGAGCTTAGTCATAGCCTTCTCAGGGAATCCCTTCGCCCACAAGCTTTCAGCCTCGCGCTGGAGGTCAGCAAGGCTCATGCCCCCGATGCGCGACACAGTACCGCTGCGAATAAAGAGTTGCAGGACAAAAAACAGTTTAGTTTAGAGTTGAAGGATGTCCTTTCGCGTGCTGAATAATCACACACAGAAGCTTACCGGAAGCAGAGATCCATGACGTCCTTGCCTAGGCCGTAGGCCTCAAAGATCTGCGCGCCGTGGTAGCATGACAACAGCGAGATGCCCATCTTAGACAAGATCTTGAGCACACCCTTCTCCAACGACTTCTTGAAGTTCTTCTGGCTGGCCTGGACGCTGATGTCGGGCACCTTGCCGGCCTTGATCAGGCTCTGCGTGCGGCTCGACAGGCGCCACTGGCGACTAGTCTCATAGCCGAGGTACGGGCAGATCGCGTGTGCGCCAAAACCGATCAGCATCGCCGCGTGGTGTGTCGAGAAGCACGTAGCCGTGTCCGCCACGATCGACGTGTCCGAACGCAGCGAAGTTCGGATCAAATGATGGTGCACAGCGCCGACGGCCAGGAGCGCCGGAATCGGCGCCTTGGACGCGTCCAGCATCTCCGGGCGGTCCGAGAGCACCACACACTGGCATCCCGCACGAACGGCCGCCTCTACTTCCGCGCACAGCTTGCGGAGTGCGGCCTCCAGCGACCCGTCCTTGCCGACGTCGAAGAAGAGCTTGAATGACTTGGTTCCAAGGGCCTTGTCAGTGGCCACTGCCTGCAGCTCTGACTCCAGCAGGATGGGACTGTCCAGAAGCACCTGTTCTCCGTCGAGGACGAGGAGAGATGAAGGTACGGGGGGAGGTTGGTTGGCCGGGGCGCAGGACAGCAAAGCAAACCCTTATATCTATTGGAAGCAATGGATCAATACAAGTCACCATGCATGCACACTGACTCGATTCAAAAGTAAGGAATTATTTATATGCAGATCTACGCCGATCACCGTAGTTCGAACTCAAATTGTCTATTTTTTTGTAGAGGACAGTGGCATATCTGATCAGAAGTCACTTGCATTTGAGTATTGCCGCCTTACGCGTACCTGCTTGTACGAATCCGGACCTGGAGCAAGCAGGTTGCCCCGGGCACCCAGACGCATCTCCAGACTCATCACCAGACCCTCACGGAGAGGATCAATGGGGGGGTTGGTCACCTGTAAGCCACCACATCCAAACAAAAAAAGACATTCACAATATGCAATTTAATCATTCAAGTGTACGGCATAATACCCATTCTATAAGGCCTGCCCTCATACACATCAGAATTATCACCACGCGCTTCTCCATCGGCAGGCGGAGTACAGGAGGAGTATTCACCCCTGGTACGCCAAGAGCGCCCACCCGCTGACACCCACCTGAGCGAACCGCTGCTTGAAGTAGTTGTACAGCATGTGCGGCTTGTCCGACAGCACGGCCAGAGGAATGTCGTCACCCATGCAGTACGTGGGCTCCACACCAGTCTGCGCCTGAGATTCCACCACCATGGTTGCGTCCTCCGCACCCATGCCTGCAGCCGAAAGTAATTAAAAGCGCTCAGCCCAAGGAAGCCCTTCTGGACGTTTTGCTGTCAATAATCATTTGCCACTTTTAAGCAAGCTTTCTCACAACGTCCGAGACAGACACCGGTGCCCAGTCCACGAACACCGAGCACCCCCAACCCGTGCTGGTCCCCGTGGCGATATCCGTTCCTTAAAGTTCACAGCAGAACAGATAACTGAAAGTGCCTGTCTCACCAATGGCAGCCTGCAAGCGCAGCATCGTGGCTGAGTCGTACATAGGCTCGTTCAGGTAAGTCGACTCAGCCAGGTCCGACAGGCGGCGCAGACTCTGCTTCAGCCATTCCTGGTAGGGCTGGCGGCTGGCCACCATCTTGCTGATAGCACCGGTCTCCATAAAGGTCGCGTTCTCCAGGTCTGCGCACACCATCTGGCCTGCAGGGGGAAGGTGACGTACCAAAGTGGTAAAATGGGGATGGAACGAACGGATATGTTCGCCGCTAATAGTAAGCCGGTGGACAGCGCGATGAAGGTGAACAGGAGGCGGAAGAAGAATACATGTAGAAGGATGGAACAATCATGTCGGAGAATAGCAGCATAAAACTTCCAACTTCCAGTGCATTATATGGCATGAAGGGTATCAGAGCTACGGTTAGAAAGCCGTCCATGATCCGCAACTTCTCACCTGGGCCTAGACGGCCCTTAGCCACAATGTTACTTGCGTTGCTGATGACGTCGCCCAGCACTCCAACCTCCGAGGCCACATAAATCATGTCGTCCTTCGTGCGCCAAAAGCGGGCCGGGCGCAGGCCGTTACGGTCGAGGCGGGCACCCACACGCTTGCCGTCCGAAAAAACAAGCAGGGCTGGGCCGTCCCAGCCCTCCTGCAGACCCTCGAAGAACTCGTAGAAATCAATCACCTGTGCCAGGCGCAAGAAGTCCCATCACCAATAGGAAAGGTTGCGCTTGATGCATATCACAATTGCCTAAGCGCCCCGTTACATCAATCAACGTTTGCAAGGACGATTCAGGTCGGACAAACCCAAAACAAACACCCTCATAAAGTTTCGCGATCCGTTACGTAGGTACGAAGCCGTGCACCCAGATTTGACTACACGCTACATTGATGACGTGTAGATCCCCCCCTTGACCCTCCTACCTCTGGGTACTCCTTAACCAGGTCCGGGTGGTTGCGATAGGCCTCTGGCACCAGGAGCATCAGCGCCTCCTGCGGGTCGAAGCCCGTGCGGACCAGCAGTTCAGCCACATTGTCCAAGTTGGCGCTGTCCGACTGCGCCGCGTTACACAGAGGCGTGAGGTCATCCTCACGTCCTTTCCAAATGGGATTCTTCAATTCGTGCTCGCGCGACACGACCCAGTTCAGGTTGCCCTGCAGCGTGTTGATTTCGCCTGCGTAAGGTACCAGGAGGCGCGCCGACAGGGATAAAAATCAGGAAAAGGGGAGGCCGTAGCCGCGCGTAACGGGCATGACGCGGGACCGTGAGACCAGCCGCTTGCCTTAACAACCAACTCCGTTCCTTTCCCCCCATCTTAAGCATGCCCAGGAGGGACCTTAGGAGCGTGGTGCACGACGTGCGAACCCGGCGATGGCTCAAAGATAGTTCGCTTTGCTGTCAGGAAGCGCGGAGGAATATACTGTGGGGGCATGCTCTGCCGGCCCAAAGGCCTAAGCCCACGAAAAGTGTACCGCATTATGTCGAGGCTGAGGTGCATAATCTTTTTCGTTTGGAAACTGCAACAGGAACCCGCTGTCCTCAACTGGGTTCCCACAAATGGAAAGGGTGCTTTGAGAGGGAAGGTCCCTGCTCCATACTCGCGCTGAAGACTGCTCACCATTGTGACCAAGCACGCGCATAGGCTGCGCCAGCGGCCACTTGGGCGTGGTGTTCGTTGAGAAGCGGCGGTGATAAATTGCGAACGACGACTCGTAATCCGGATTCTCCAAATCCCGATAGAAAGCGCCCACGACCGCTGAGCGGAGCATGCCTTTGTACACAATCGTACGACTGGACAGCGTGCAAAGGTAGAAATCAGGGGCAACCTCCGCAGGCAGCTCAGCGTTCTTCGCCTTCTCCACGAGCTTGCGAACCACGAACAGCTCTCGTTCCAGCTCATCGCCGACCTGGCCTGGCTTGCCCTCTACCAGGACTTGCCAGATGCGCGGCTCCGTCACCCGTGCAAAGCGGCCAACGATCTCGTGATCGACAGGCACCTTGCGCCATCCCACCACCTTCACACCCTCCTTAGCGCATACTGTCTCCAAAATCTGCTTACATTGCGCCTCCAGCTGGTCGTTGTTAGGCATGAAGACCATGCCAACACTGCAAGGATATTGGTAACCCAAATTTGAGAATATTTTTATTTTTCTTACACAAACTTAGCTCTCAGCCACAAAGGCAGAGCCTGATCGCGTCATTGCCTTACCCGGTCGTCAATTCGTTCAGCTGCGGCCATTCCTTTTTCAACAGTTTCCAGGGGATTTGCGTCATCAAACCAGCCCCATCACCCGAATCGTTATCGGCTGAACAAGCTCCACGGTGCTCCATACATCCAAGCGCCGTCAATGCCTGCAACGACGGACTGCGTGTCTCAAGACGCTCCTCATAACGCCGCCGCGTTCATAGGCCAGGACCAATTGAACCGCACCTGATGAACAATTGTGTGGCTCTTGATGTTCTTCAAACTGGCAATAAAACCGACCTGCGGGTGGCCACCGACACCTGAGTACGTCTGCACGCATGCTGGTCGACTTGCAAGATCAGGCTTACTCCGCAGGCGTCGCGCTCTGCCAGAATTTCCTCCATGTTCGCCACCTTTGGCTCATAGGTGCTGGCCCCGGCAGCTGGCTCCATCACCTCTGGCGTCCGGAGTGGCTCACACAAAGCCCCAGTGGACGCGGCGAGCGGTGCGACCGAGCGGCTCGGCCCATTCTGGGCCGAGAAAACACGTTTTACATTCTGCAAAGAAGGAAGAATATGTGTGGTGCTAAAGCATCTCTATCTTGTGTCACCTCGGACAGCGCAGCCGGGACTGCACGCCAATGTAAAGAACCTACGTCCCGTCTCATAAATGCAACCTACTTGCCAACTTAACGTTCATAATTGATTTTAATTATACCGACCTTGGCCTTTGCTTGAGGGCTGTGGTGCCCCGCTCGAGCACGGGGCACTGCAGGCACGACAGGCAGCGCTGGCCGCTGGCTGCTATCCAAGCGGGAGCCTACGCGCTGCTGCGCGCGCAACAGAGCGTCCATGATTAGTACGTGCTGGAGAATCTCAATTTTTCTTCTTTTCTTAAGAGGCTGGACGAGGTCCTCACGTTGTACGACGTGCTGTACTCCATGTGGGGCGGCTGCAAATATGAGACACAAGTGCTTACATGAGGAGCAAAAAGTTATAAGAGGCATAATCCTATGTATAGACGAATGCAAAACATGGATTCCACCGCATTTTGAGACTCACGTGTCTCTTTTATCGAGCCTGATGTTTCCTAATGCTCTTTACAAAATGTTTACATTTTATTCATGCTATGCCTTCTGTAGCCAACTACAGATTATTTAACGCCAGGCACAAAATTGCAAGACCTCGCCCTACCGGTTTATGCACCCGCCATTGTTCATGTGAGGAAGATACTCTCAAGCGATCCATATAAGCGGAAACTTAAGAAAGGAACAAATGCCACTTCAACTCATTGGCCACACATCTGCAACCTTTGCGTACCAGTAACAGTAACAGAACAAATTATGCACTTCAGAAACGACCCCTCAGCCCTCATGCAATAACGCGGTTACCCATTATGCAAAATTGGTTACTGGCTTCATTATTGCTGGGAACCGGTATGGGCCAAGAACAAAACCCGCCTCATAAAGATAAAAAGTAAATAAACTTCATCCCTCAGCAGCAACGGTCCAGAGAAATTAGCGTTGATTACTTTGGTCAAGGATCACAACCCATATCATAACCCATCACACTGCCGTTCTGTTGGTTAGCGGCTCGATTCACTTCTCGCACGTCATGGACCGTGCGTGTGCCACCTAAACAGCCGCAGGCTCGCGACGAGAAGTAATCGTCGCCTGTCCAAGCAGCATGGCCGCCGCCCGCTCTGCAACCATGACAGTGGCCGCTCCTGTTTGCCCGCCTGGAATGCGTGGCAGCACAGACGCATCCACGACACGCAGCCCGTCAACACCGAACACCTTGAGGTCAGCAGAAGACACCACGGCGCCACTGGCTGGCGTGGTACCCATCGCGCAGGTGCCCACAAGCGCGTTGCCGCTGTGGACCGTGCGCCGGACATACTCCTCAATGTCCTTGTCAGTGTTCGCCCGCTCCCCGGGGAAGGTCTCCTGCAAGAGCATATGCATCCAGGACATGGCCAGGCTTTTAGGACAGACCATGTTAGACCCTATCCTCAATGCAGGCTTCGCGTGATCGGACGCGCTCTTCCGTTGCCAGCCCTTCCGTGCACTGCAATTATGCAGTTCGAGTTCGCCCGGCTCCTGAAGCCCGCATTCGCGTAACCAAAACGAAATGACACCCGACATGTAGGCCTTCCCTCGCACCTCCAGAAGGTATTTGCGCAATGGCTCCTGGGCAACGATTTCGCGCGCAATGCGCACACCGTTCTTAAGCGTGGCAAGGTCCTCAGGATCGGAGAAATAGTTTCTGCAAGGGCCAAACGTCCACACGACTCATCCACCAGACCCAGTTTATCTGGAATGGCCCCAATCCCCAAGGCAGGCAAACCAGAAGCTTAAGGATGGTTTGTGAACAACCGCTTTGCAGTCATTCCTGTATCTCAAATGGTACGGCTTTGCAGATATGTCCAGACCACGTCTTCCACCAATTCGGAAAACCACACCGAATGAGCGCACGCCACCTACATGTTAATGGCGGGGTTGATGAAGGGATCCGCGGCCTTGAGACCTGCAAGTCCATATACGGCGCAATGCAGCTGTGGGTAAACATCACACAAGCTTCAAACACAAGTCGTCGGCATGCTACGATTCTTTAGCACAGCCCAACAACGTCCACACAATGCCACTTATGCGAGCTCGACCCTGTAATCTCAGACCCTCGGCGCAGATAAAACCATTCACAAAGACATTGCAGCTAGCTGGGAAGATGCAACATCATTCCACAGCAAGATGGATACCGAGCCATGAATAACAGGTACAGCAGATGAAACAGGTCGTCGCGAAAGCATTCACTGATAGACTCACCGATGCTGCCCCTGCTCTTGGCGCGGATGCCCAGCAGCTGCAACGTGATACCGCCGGGCCAAGCACGGCCCTGCTTCTTCAGCTCGCCGAACACAATGTACGACTTCACGCCGTCGGGGTCCAGCGCGCAACCGGGCACGAATCGCATCTGCAGGTCCGGCTGCGAATGCGAGGCTACACCAGGGCATGGAAGTTTGGAATTTGGGGACACGGTTATTACCAACGGGTCCACGCAACATCTCGATGCCTCAGCCACAAATTGTAAGCTACACAGGGTTGAGGCAATAGTTGTGCCTGCAGGCCTGCATCCAACATCCATACAAGCCTTTCTAAGTAACCCCCAGAAAAATGGGCAGCATAGCTCTTGCCGTGCCGGCTCGCCAAGGGATTAAGGGAGGTGCATTGCTACAACAGCATAGGTTATCGGGTATTTTGTCGGAGAGCTACTATCGGAAAACACTCATGGCTGCCGAGGTGAGCCCAAGGCGCTTGTGTTGTCAGCGAATCTCTCAACGCCGTGCAGCGCTGATGTGCACCCCACATGAAACTCAGCCGCCATGTAGCCGGCGCGCCAAGGGATTAACGGAGGTACATTGCTACAAATGCATAGGTTATCGGGCATTTTGTCGGAGAGCTACTATCGGAAAACACTCATGGCTGCAGAGGCAAAGACAGGGCGCTTGTTTTGTCAGCGAATCTCTCTACGCCGTGCAGCGCTGATGTGCACGCACCCGAAATCCAGACGCCTGACTCACCCGAAGTGCGCACAAAAGCGCCATGATCACAGCCTGTGGTTGCAAGTGGCCCGCGGCGTCCGAACAGGTACTTCATAACGGCGCCCAACCGGATGTTGCACTTGCTGTCATAGATTTCCGAAGTGACCGACAGTCCCTCGAACTCGGGCTTAGCCCTGGGCAAAGGTCAGTTTGCCACAATCGAAAAGCCCCTCAATGGCCACATAATCCCAGGGAACACTGCCAGCTACTCCATTGCCGTGGCTCCTCCCCTAAAAGACCCGACTGATCCCAACACTTGCGCTCCAGACGGACCTTTCCTAAACCCGTCGGGCCCCAGGCTCACGTACCCATCGTGACTATACACCACACGGCTGCGCACTCACCGGACAGCAAGCACCGCGGCTGGGTGATCCTGCAGGTTGGCACCCACGCCAGGCAGGCTTGATATCACGTCGAGTCCGTGCTCAAGGAGGGTCGGCGCCGGCCCAATGCCCGAAAGCATCAGTAGGTGCGGTGTGTGCACGGCACCGGTGCACATGAGAACCTCGCCACCAGGAGTCAGCTCGGCTAGAGTGGGAGAAGTGAGAGGCACGGAAAAAGGGAAAGATCAGCAGCGACGGCTTACGACCCGCGTGCGGAGCCGTACACGAAAGGGACTGGGCGCTTCAAGGCACCTCCGCAAGCATAAGGGAGGGTGCACCATCGAAACCCAAGCACAGGCCCTCACCGGTGTAGCGCTCCCCAAATTGCTGGGTAGCATACTCGACACCGCGGGCACGTGGACCCGTCGAGCTCTTCTCGATATGCACTTTGGTCGTACGCGCGCCGGTCATCACCTGCCAGCAAAGCACAAACGCACAGTGCCCCAAGCGATGTGCCATAACTAACCGTACATAGAGCTGCAATAGACATCAGAAAACGGCTTCCCGCAGCGGCCTGGATCACTTGAAAGCGTACCCACAGATGGAGAGAAATTATTCCTCAACTCCCCGTATCCTTTGAGAATCCTTTTACTGATCTCAGCGCATAAAAATCTGTTCACGTAGGGTTGACACGCGTTGATGTGCACTGTCTCCGACTAATTCACACCTTCAGGTTGTCGCGGCCCATAGCCGGCTTGAGGTAGGTCCGATACGTGTCCGCGCGCTCACCGTTCTTCTGGGCCACCTGGAACTCCCCATAGCCCTCCTACACGGCGAACAGTCGAAAAACACGCAAGTCTGCCGCACAGCGTGTAAGCTCCACTAGCAGCACGCAGGCCATATAACTCCCAGCACCGGACGTGGAGTGCAAGTTTTATCACAACGTTCCTGACTTAGGCAAGCGGTAATGATGTCCTTACTCGCTTGCGCAGCTCCGAAGCTGGCTGCGGCTAAGAAGGGCGCCGATTAACATGGAATGGTTTTCGGCTCTGACCGCTCACCTGCGGCCGGCTCCAGTCATTGAAATCCTCGTTGGCAGGTAATCCAGCTGCCGCAGCAGCCCTGAAAAACTCGTCGTGCAGGACGTTCTGGTAACGCGGTTGCTCCACATTCATAGAACCGGACTGGCCATGGAAGGCCCGGGGACCTGCACGCGTGGGTGTGTCGATAACAGGCACAAGGTGATGGTTTGAGGGGCCAGGGGTGCAGCGGCTACACAGCAGCGAATCCCAACAAGCCTGGGCTTACGGGAGATGCGTCGCCGAAGTGTGCAACACCCAATAGTCCGATTCATTGAATGTTCCGTTACGAGGACTAGAGTATCCAAGGGTTCAAATACCAATGATTGGGCAAGCGAAGCGCCCCCCATGAACATGAAAAGAACAGCAAGACCTGGTTAAGTGCCCTAGACAAAAATTCAACGGATCCCTGTTTAGCCCACACGAAATGGGATAGTCGCTAACCATACTTGCCATTTTCCCACCTAAAAATTGCCCGCCGCAATGCAACATCAGCCTTAACGAGCTGAACCCAGCCGCGCATGCATTAGGATGTGCCCTCGCGGTGTTGAAGCCATACGCCCCTACCCAACAAGCATTCTTCCACAGAATCCTCAGCCCAGGCGGATCTCACCGTCTCCATAGCATTCGGCCTTAACGAACCAATCAAGTAGATCCTTGCTCGTCCAGCCCTCCAAGCCCCAACTGTCGTAGTCAGCGGGGGTGCCGCGATGATACAGCGTTGCGTTGGTCCCAGAGGAACCGCCCAGAAGGCGACCGCGAGCAAGGTAGATCTAGGGAAAGGCCACAATTCGTCGTCGTAATGAAAAGTCCGAGTTGCAAGCACATTTTTCATGGTGGACACCCATCCTGTGGGGTGGACACCTATCCAAAGTCACCCGCAACGCAATCCTAGGATTTCGCACGGGCTTCATGTGTCAAAAGTTATAAGACATGAAGCCATAGAACAACGAAGCCACAGAATGAAATTGTTTGCCACACTTGAACACTGAGAGGGAACGAAGGACTAGTACATTGTCGCAGATGCGCAGTGCAAAAGTGAACAGAGCCACAGATGCACACAAACCCAACCTTAACTGGGGCCTACAAGCAACAGTCTGACGCCTGATACATGCGCGCATGAACGGAGCACATCCACTAATACTGTCCTTGGGGACTGTGCGTCCCAGACCACAATGACTCAGCCAAGCCACAACCCAAATCAATCGACACGCACACCCCGCACTAACCCCCTGAACAGTGAGACGCACCTCGCGTGCAACCAGCTGCTGCTGCGTCAAACTGGACATACCCCAGTCAAAAACTGGATGTGCAAAGAGACGGGCAATACCGGCCGGTACGGCCACTTCCATAGCATCGCCGGTTGGACCAGCCTGCAGAGCACGATAAATTGGTATAACATCACAGCGACAAAAAAGTTGAAGGGCGAAAGAATGATAACTTGCCTCAAGAACAAGAACCTTCTTGCTGCCATTAGCGGACAATTTGTTTGCCAGAACGCAACCTGCCGTCCCTCCTCCCACAAGGATGTAGTCGAACTTCTCCGACCCCACGCTTGCCGCAGCTTTGACTGCAACTGGACGACGAGCAACACCTGCGACCCCTATATCAAATCGATTCGCAATTCACTTTTATGCGCAAGGGATGCCCCGACGCTCGCACAGCCGGCGTGCGGCTCACCACCGTGCCGAGCAGCCTTCCAGCATGGCATCGCACCCTTTGCGGGCGCACCAAAAGGTCGTTGACCTAGCAACATGATGCCCCGAGGTGTAACTGCTTTGCAAGTACCACTCAACGATGAGATCAGGTGAATCGAGTTTCTTGATGATAATGATGTTTGGCTTATCGGCTGGATTAATTAGTGCCGAATAAAGCAAAGAAGATTAGGTCTCACCGGTGCCAAAACTCCTTCCCTCACTGCCGTGCAGATCTGGCCCATCAGCAGCATTTGGCGTGGCTGTAAGGTAATCTATATAGAACAATTAAATTATAATAGAATCGACACTTTTTCATAGTATCATACACTGCAAGTTTTCACGGTTACGACAAGGGAACCATAGCCCCCAGGACGGAAAACAATGTTGCAAGCATTACAAACGGACCTTAATATATATAGATCTATGAAATTCTTGCGCGTAGCGTCCAGTTGGGCCAAGCATTGCACCTGTCGAAAGCGACCCAAGGGTCTTAGGAAACGTTGGCCAGTTTCGCGGCGTGCACCATAAGCGTTGAGGTCTGAAGGCATCAAAAGCCCGGCTAACAGGACATTAAAATTGCTCAGAATTGTTGTACAACAAATGCGTGATGCAGCAGTGACGGAAGTCTCCAAGGCTGCCCGGCAACCGTTGACCGAATCGCCTGCATTAAAAAATTATGAAACTACATACTTGTGCACAGACACAAATACCTTTGTGACGGATGTCTAGCTCCTGGCCCGCTATTTAAGTTGAGTGTTATACGGAACGCCCATTGGTCGCAACGGAAATGGCCGCGTCGGAGTATCCCTCAAGCACAGCCGCGCACGCCGGCAGCGCCGCTGCTTCAGCCTCGCCAAAAATTACTAAGCTCCCTGAGGACGTCCAGCCCGAGGTGCGGCAGCTTATCTCCACTGTCCAGGCATTCAAAGCCGCCACGGACTGGGACCGCATCGACAGTGCTACTCGCGCGCTCGACGCGGACTGCGTATACGACTCGCCTTTTATGTGAGCACAGCTCAGCTGTCACCTGGGCTATGCGATTCAGCACGAGAGTACGGCTCCCGAGCTGAGGGTTTGGGCATCAAGCGCTGAAGTGCCTTATGAGCACCTAGGTATTGCACGGCCCTCCTGGGACATGCCACGAAGTGAAGTGTGAAACACTAAACCATGAGCCGGGGGTAGCATAAGGAGAGGTGTTGCTGAGAGCCCCCTGCCCGCCAGCCTGCTCTCCAGCCTGCCCTCCTGTCCAGATCCGTAACAGGGCGCGCTAACGTTTGGTTGGGCTTCTTCTCGGCCTGCCGGTCAGCCCCGTCATTATGGACCCCCCTGGTAGCGCACATTTGCGCCTATCTAAGTCCTACCACACACCCCATCAGCATAAGCGCACACAGTTAACTGCTATGCCCCCCAGAGCCTTTGGTACAGCGAAGCATTGCCACACGAAACTGAGGTTACGCCACCATCTCGGCTCCTCCTCCTTCACCTCCCCCACCCCTCGACCGGCTGCTGCCGGAACCCCTGCACCAGTCGCATTCCCGCATATCCCGCATATCCATCCGTGCTTTACGTGGTCTGCAACAGCTCCGCAGTTACGCGGTGCTGTACAGACCTCCTTCGATACCTCCGTACAAACTCACGTTATGCATCCCCACCGCAATCCTTTTTGTGCACATCATCTCGCTTGCATCTGCCTGGGATTGTGTGTTTGCCACCTCCAGGTACATCACTGGCGGCCGTGACAGGGTGCGTGCCGTCGCCAAGCTCCTCGCGCCTTTCGCGTACACTGAGTTTGACCCAAAGGTGAGAATTGATACCTGCGACAGCCGAGCGAGGTCCATCCACACAGGGGAATCCTTACTCGCTTCCCCCGGATAACTGCCAGACTACACGAGCTGAGAGGAGTTAAGGTACCCGTCTGTGTCGTACCCTAGAAACGGCGTTAATGGCATCAGGGGAAACGAACGTTGTGGATGGCTTATAGGAGTAAGCCCCGGTCCGGGGCCCCCGTACCGCCCGCCCTCTGTGCCGGTCTTCTCCACACCCTACCTGCCATTCCGCCTGTTTCCTCCAGCTGGTACACATCACGATGAACAGCGCTGAGCGGAAGGCCGAGCTGGAGGTGGAGGGCATGCTGCGTGTTCTGCCGCGGCGCTATTGGTTCGCTCCCGTGACCTGGATTCTGCCGTCCAGCATCCCCCTGGGCGGCACAATCACACTGCACGTCACGAGCTGGAACGACAAGGTGTCGCGTATTCAGGAGCGGTGGGTAATGAGGTAACAGCGTTGCGGGAACGGAACGAGACTTGCTCTTTGTGCTGTGCACGGTCTGGGTTGATGCAGGAGCGGCTCCCATCCGTGCGTTAAGGTGAAGCGCGCGATATTGCAACGCCGGCGCAGAAACCGAGCCATTGACTTAACAGCGGTGTTTTGGTCGCCACCTGCGGCGAAATGCATGGCTCCGTTCTCCGCCCTCCCTACGCCCTTTACCCCTTCAGCTTGGGCGTCATAGCCGCCTACATTCTGCACCTCAGGAGAGGCTCCGCACGTGTCTGTGTGCACGCATGCGCATGCAAGCGCACGACTCCGCCCACTTCACTCACGAGTCCACGTGGGGGTCGTTTCGGGCACCGTTCCCTTCGACATTGACGCAGGTTCACCAACATCCCCGTTATCATTCCCCGCCTGGTCCGCTGGCTGGCCGGCTGGGCGATGGGCTCCTTCGGCGTGGTGGCAGAGCCCGCGCTATGCACATTGAACGACTGGTACACTGCGGGATTCACCAGCGTGCAGGGCAGCATGGAACAGGTCGTTCAGCAGCACCCGCAGGCGGCGGCTGTCATCAGCAAGGCAGCGGAGGTGCGGGACAAAGTGGCCACGAGCGCGGAGGCAGCCAAGGCACGAGTGATGAGCATTGTCAGCGAGTAAAGGTTGCAGCATGGAGGCGCTTGGTGTGCTTGGCGCTGTTCTTATCAGCGAGTTGTGCGATTGAGGACTGTGGCTGCGTTAATTTCTAGTTTGGCTCGATCAGGGGTTGTTCGGGGCCTGCTATAATTGTGGAAGTAAAGCACGGTTGTGGGTTATAGTCTCAAGGGACCTGGGAGGTTGGATGCGGCGTTCGTTGGTGGGGTTGGTTTGGGCGGCCGGGTGCACGCTACCTGGGCTTGGCGACGCGGTTTTAGTTGTGAACCTTATATCAAATGTGCGACCTTGTGTCCAATGATCGGGAAGGCACGTTTGAAAATGCTTAGGTTTCCGGGAAGCCCTAGCGTGGATGTGAAACGTCTCAGCGGCAGGTATTTGTGGATGGTACGATAACGGTAATATCAACCGCCTCCGCGCTGACTCTACATGGACCTTCGGCAGTGCTTCAATAATTAGGGAAATGGTTCAAGTTGTAAATTCTTACTGATGTCAGTATCGTGGATTGTGCATAGGTTTTGAAGGACGGGTTAATGCCAGTGTAACGCTTGCGAACCAAGTTGTTTACCAGAAAGCAACACCGGCTGAAAACAAGACAACACGGAGAGATCACGCTGATAGATTTTTAAAGATGTCCTTATCTAGGTCGTCTTTGGAGCACTTGCTGCACGCTTACATTGTCCCCAACCTGGCGACGCCGGGGTCAAAGCCTAACCTTATCGATTTCGGCGTAACAATATGGATTGCGCTGGTGCTCTTGGCTGTTCGACTGGCTTATGAACGTGCCGTCATCCCCGGATTTAAACGATATCTCGAGCGGGTCAAAGGGCCAGGTGGAGGGAAGCCGGCATTTCAGGTGCTGGACAACATTTGGATTGCAACTTTTGCGGGAAGCCTGGCGGGTTTTGCTTGGTGGGTAACGGTCACAGACAACGGTGGCTGCACGCCTTGGTCCACAACCGCCTGTTTTGCGGGCTGGCCAGATCACCCCGTTGCGCTCGGTCAGCGATGGTACATGGTCCTCGCATTTGCATACTACCTATACGAGCTCTTCGGTACCGTTCTGGGTGTGGGCACCAAGCTCAAGGCGGACATGGTGGCGCATCATGTGGCCACCATGGCGCTCATCATGATTGCGTGAGTGCGGAACGGCTGGCAGCATTTAGTGGGATAACAAGGACCACAATAACGAAATAATGCCAAGCCTGCATGGGAGAGGGTGCAGGAGGTTTGCAACCGCACACATGCTGGGAAGCAAAGGGGCGCTTGGTAGAGGGAGCACCAAGACGCCGCGATGTGGGTTCGGAGGGTTTACGTTGCTTGATGTCTGATCCGTCGTTCATAAGCTGGACAACTTGAGGGAAGGGAGCTGGTATGACGGACCAAGCTGCACATTGGCTAACATGCATGGTTGTGCGGATGAACATGCCCTGCTAGAATCCAAGGTTTTTCTTATGGAGAAGGCCCTGAAGGCCCATGTGCCGCAGTAGCTTTTCCAACATGCCAGCCTCCTGTGCGCCGCTTCTGCGCTTTTTACCGTGGATTCCGGCTGTCGCTCCCAGACTTTGCCCAACGCCCCTCCTCCGCGTTGACCGCGTCCCACTTCACCTTCACAGGTACCACGTCAACCTGAAGCGCATGTCCGTGATGTGGCAGGCCCTATTCGACATCTCAAACCCCATTTTGCACATCGCCAAGGGCCTTCACGCCGCTTCCATCCGGCAGCTGGGGGGTCTGAAGTGGCTGCTGTTCAACCTGTTTGCCGTCACTTTCCTGGTGTGCCGAGTCATCATGGGTCCCATCGCCATTTTGTGGCCATCCTTCACGATTGCAAAGGAGGTGCTGCCAGCCAGCTACTGCTACACGTGCTGGGGCCTCGAGGTCTTCGTTTACCTGCTGCAACTGATATGGTTCGCTAAGATTGTGGAGATCGCGGTCAAGGGAGACAAGTCCGTGAAGGCGGACTAATTGTTCGGGATGTTGTCGTACGTCAAGTATAGGTGCGTGCTGAGGTTGAGTGGAGTTGACACAGCAGCATCGAGAGCACGGTAAAGCCCTTGGGGCTTGGGGGCTGCGTCGGCGTTCGGTCCTGAGGCTGGTGCAACTGATGGGGCCAGTTCGCCACGGGTCGGCTGGTCTACTGCCCCCGGCGAGATGGGTCCTGATATGCGGACATTGCCGCGAAGTGTGTGTTCGACACGAGGCGGCGAAATTATATGCTGTCGATATCGAGTGTTATTGACGCCATGATTGCGGCTTCATTCTTGTCTTAAGGCTCTTTCTTATCCTGTAAAGCCTTCGGTGATTGCCAAACTGCCTTTACGAATGTGCCGCCGCAGTGGGCCATCCCAGAATCTGGGCCTTTGTGGGGGGTTGGGTTCGCAAGGGGTTGCAACGGCCCAAGTGCCAAGACGATGACTTTGTGCCACCTATCAGCTAGCATTTGACTTGCTGCCGACGGGCCTGAGCCGCGGCCCGGGCAACTTCCCCCAGCTTTTTGTGCGCACTTGCAACTTGCGACCGGGCTACATGTTGGAATTGGGACATTGGGCCTGACGTAAACACTGGCTGAGCGGTAGCTGCGCGAGTGTGTGCTCACTGCATGGCGGGCCTGCGGTAGCCGGGGGGAGCCGGGCATGTGCCTTGCCGCCGAATAGCTGTGTCGGTTCCCGGTGTGTGAGCGAGAGAAAAGGAAATTGTTGTCAATTTGATGGTGGCCAAGGCATGAGTTAGACGTGAGAGTTCCAGGTAGCAAAGCCTGTGTGGAATAGGTAAGGTCAAATCGTTGGCCAACGTCCAAGACTTAAGAAGCCATGGCGGTCTGTTGGGGGGGACGTGTTCGCGGAATGCGCGGTGGCGGTGATGCTGCGAATTCGGCTGAGAATTCAAGAGGTCATTCCTTTCGTCTGCCTGGTTGACGTCTGGCGGAAAAGCGTTGGATTGGTCTGTGTTTTGCCTAGGTACTTTGTAGGTCAGACGAGGGGGACTGGTCTTACGCCGTACATCCCATGCATCGCTGTTGACACGAGCTGACGCGACCGCGCGCAACGGCATCTAAGTCATTTCCTCGGTCCTGATCCGTCAGCCCGGTCTTTGCGTTCGGTGGGGCTGCCGTGCACTATCGAGATGGCTGATACCGAAATGTGAGACACAGAGACAGGCCGAGTGCGATTTCCAAGGCCTTAACATCTTGAAGCTTCCTGAAAGAACTTCGATGATGGAGTCATGAGGTAGCTGGTTTATCTGGTCTTTCTGAGAAACAATACCACATAATAAACATCCAGGGGATAGCAGGGTTTGCTTCAGCAGCCAGAATCGCAACACCGTGTTGAAACCAGGCCAACCAGAACGGGGGGAGACCTAAGAGCAAGACCCGAGAATGCCAACCATCTTCTGGCCAATGGGGTGCTGGTGGCGCAGTCCATTGCTGAGTCAGTAGTATCCCACCGCCGCAGCAGCCACAGCTGGCGAGCACAGAGCCTTCCCATGAATGCCGTATTCCTAGACCATCGCGACACAGCAAGTCACAGTGCAAGTCACATACTGCCCGACACGACAGCAGGTGTACCGCTGGTTGGCACGGAAAGACGGTTCAATCTGCTTCATCCGCCATGGCGAATAGCAATCTGCACGAAGCGCTGACTGGGATACAGTTTCCTGGTACTGAACGGGCATGCAGCCCTTGCCACCCGCCCCAGAGCACCTCCAGTACGCTTAGCGACCGGCCCTGCCCACAAGACCCCACCTATGCCTGGTGCCATAGAACATGGACACATCCCTACCTCTTAAGAATTCGTTACCGCAGAACAGCACCATACCATTCGCGGTAAACGCACACACGAGCTGCAGGTAATTCACACCACCCGTCCCCGGTCCCTCACCACCCCAACATGTTGCCACGACAGGCAGCCGGACCAGGGCACCGTGCTGGTCCCGATACATCTGCCTGCAACGTGTCCTCCGTTCGTCGGCCCGTTCCAGGGCACCTTGTCACTGCTCATGTTAATGTTGCATGTTTCATAACACCTCATTCACCCTTTGCGTTCCCCAAGCCCCCGTGTCTCATTCATGTTAGCCACATGCCGCACAGGGCCCCTTGCGCTGTGCCAGCCCCTCGTACCCATCACCAGTACTTGCTCTCGCTGCAAGCCACCCCCTCTCCGCAGCCCCACTCTGCCTCCAACCCCCGAGAGGTACCCCCAGGAGAGACGTGCTTCACGCCGCCTCCAAGCAACCAAGCTCCGCAACGAACCTCAGGCGGCACCGGCAAACTGCTCCACGCTGCGCAGCGTCCGCGACACGTCCTCCTGCACGCGCTTGGCCAGCGCCTGCCGGCCCATGCGCTGCACCACCTCCGACCCAAATGAAAACACCAGCGCCTGACGGGCCGCCTCCGCACTGATTCCGCGGGCCCTAGGGAGAGCGCAAACCAGTCCGGGATCAGCGAGGGCAGAGGAGAAATGATTGGCACGTGGACGGCCACATGACATGAAAGGTTCAGCGACGGCTGCCGAACATGTGTGCGGTGTGCACATTGCGCAAAGATCGCACACCATCCGTCGTATCTGACGCGTCATTTTCGGGGAGGGGGAAAATGGGCACGGGCACAGAGTACCGGCTTCTCCACATACCTGAAATAGAACAGCTCCTCATCCCGCAAATCTGATACCGCGCAACCGTGTGTGCACTTGACATCGTCAGCGATGATTTGCAGGTTGGGCTTCACGTTGACGGTGGCCAGGGGCACCAGCAGCAGGTTGCGGCTCAGCTGACCCGCGTCGGTCTTCTGGGCGGCGCGGTTCACCTGCGAGGGGGGTAATCGCAGTCGCGGGGGAAAACAAACATAGAACATTTATAACATCGACGACGACCCGCACCATCATCCTTGGGTTGACCATGGCACGGAAAGCTTTCTAAGTGGCCAGGAAGGGCGCCAGCAGATACCCCTCATGGTCAGCTTATTAGAGCTGGACTTGGCAAGGCCGGAATTCCGGGGATATCCCACCACACTCGGTCTCGTAACAGTAGGGGGCCGACCTCCAGCTTGCCACATAGCCCTACGCCACCACCTCCAGTGTAATAACGAAGGCGAAAGGCAACACGTGCACCCCGTGTCCCCCCGAGGATCACCCTCGCCGGCGCCTACCGTGATCCTCGGTGACCCTCGCCAGGGCAGGTCCCGAACCGTAACCCGTCGTACAAGACCCTCTGTGCCCTGCGCCGGCAACACCACTCGGCACCCACCTTAACATTGCCGTCAAAGACGCCCCTGCCGCTGGCATGGCTGACGATGCACTTGTGCAGCTGGTTGGCAGTACCGTGCGGGTGGTCCAGCTGCAGGCGGGAGTGCAGATCGTGCAGCTGGTTGGGGCCGCACAGCAGGAAGTGACCCATCTCGGTGTGGGTCTCCGGGCCGCCCTGCGTTAAGAGGTTGGGGGAAGGACACGGACGGCTCTTGGGGAACCGGAATGGGCACTTCTGACGGTGCGCGGCGGCACCTGGCGTTCACAACTTCGCGAAGGAGTTGGATGAAACCACGTCTCCAAGAAGAGCAGTACAGGATGATCAACAATGAACGGGTTGAACACGGCAGCACCTGCGCGCGTGAGGCACACCTGCAGGATGGTGAGGTCGTGGCGGGCGATGGCGGCCCCCACACTCGCCTCCGTCACCGTGTATCGAGATCGCTCCGCCTGGTGCACCAGTGTGCCCTTGAAGTGGAAGCTGCCGGCGGCTTCCCGCTACAGGCAGAGGGAGGAGGAACCCAGGGAGGGCCCAGCGGCGATCAAGGCAATGGCCAGGCTCGGGGCCCAGACCAGGCCTCCTGGCCTCGCCGTGCTCCAGAACGGACCCCGGAGAAAGCTCTTACCCTGTTTTGAACAGGACCTGGAGCCCTGTGGCCCGCCTTAAGGGCAACAGCATTAAACATAATATCCCATGTCACGACGGTACCCAATCAATGCTAACCAGCTAAGCTATTCCCCAAGAGAAGTTCTACCAGTCTAGCCATAGAGTTCTTGCCCTTAGCTTTCGGTCCCTTCATTTGTATGCTCGGCTCCGCAGATTCAGGTCCCGAGTTCACGTACAGCTCACACATACGTCCCTCCCTCGCTGCAGCACGCGAGAAAGGGTCCTGTGAACTCCCACGCACACAGACACGTGTCGTACCTGCACGTACGAGTGCTTGACTTCGGCAGCCGGTTCCAGAAATAGCTCCGCCATGCTCACAGTCAGATAGTGACCATGATCCGAGGAAGCAGAGGCCGCCGCGGAGGCAGTGGTGGAGTCCTCCAGGCCCACGTACTCCTCAACCACCTCAACCAACGAGCCAACGCCAGCGTGGACGAGCAATCGCGGCGCATTAGCATTGGCGATAGCGGCAGCGGACGAAGCTGCGGGAGGATTGCGGGCGCAGGTGGAGCAGGTGGGCAGGACAGAGGGTTTCTTGCTTCGGCTTGTGTCGCTGCAGAAGCACTGGGGCTCATTTCATACACCGTAGGGCTCGCTACACTTTCCATTGCATTTAGACCAGAGTCGTCCCATGTATGTTGTTCTGCGCCTTAGGCAGAAACAGCCCCGCCGTCCCACGCCAGTGCTATCAGCAGCCCATACAGAGTTGTAGCCCGAATCGGTTTCACTCATTCGCCATTCGCCCCGCGCAGCACCAGCATTTCATATACCTCCCATTTCAGGGTCCAGTCACCCCCAACACCCTCTCCCCATCATTATGCAGCGCCGCTCCCCAAGCTCGAAATACCGCCTATGCATCTCCCGTATGTATGCAAGGGAGCCACGCAACCCCGAACATGTCAACCGAGTAGAGCCCAACCCCATTACGAGGTTTCATTCCCGGCCCAGTTCAACAACATTATCTGCATGAACCATGCCACGCTCTTCATCACCGTCTCTCCTCCCATTTCCCATGCTCGTGGTGTTCCCATTCGGGCCCTGTGCGGGAGTCCTTTACCCCTCCAAAGGAACTGCTTGAGACCCTTCCAGACCAATACGTTGTAAGTCGTAAACTTCCCACATAAGCCTCGCCCTCCCGTCCCATCTTGGTCTACAAGACCCCCACCCCAAGCCAACCACTATCAGAGGCACCACAGCTGGGGTTTTCCACTGCTGCCGTCTCTCCCCCTCTTCCACGCCTCCTGGCCGCCTCCCCTCCCCTTCCCCTTCCCCATCCCCTCGCCCTACCCTCCTCACCCGATGCCACGTGCAAAACAAACACAGGCCCCGGCAGGCTGGCCCCTGGCTCCGCAGCCACCACCAGCACCCCCGGGGTGAGCGAGCCGTTCAGAACCGCGAAGGGACCCCCCCGGGAGTTGGACAGCGAGCCCTGCAGCGGCGAGTGGAATCGTCCGACCGGGTTTACAGTTGTCATCAGGATGAGACGCACAAGTTCGCGGTGAGGGGCATTACTGATTGCTGCTCCCAAGTCCGTCTTCACTGTCAAGGCATGATGGAGCTGGACCCATTTTTATTGTTGCGTCCCTCGCTGTCCCATACACGTATCGCACGGTCAAAAAGCCCGAAAACCACCGCTCCTCCATCCTCTGCCCCTCCCCCTTACCCCCGCACCAGTTTCTCCACCACGGCCGCTGAGGCGCCCTCCAGCGGCCCCACGTACACGCCCTTTGGCAGGTCCGCCAGCCCGCGGCAGAGCTCCGACCGCAGCACGCCGTCCACCACCACCGCCACCACAGCGGCGTCCGGTAGGTCGGTCCGCTGCAACAGCTCCGAGGTCACTACCGCCCCGGGAGCGGCAGGCTGGAGGCATAGTGAAGGAAGTTGGGCAGCAGACTGTGAGGCCAACAAAAGCTGACGAGATCGCCAGAGTGCCAAGATGCGGATTACAATACACAACGAAGAGGGGAACAGGTACAGAGGCCTGAGCTGGCTAACTGGGATAGTAGCATTGCCGCCTTAGCGCAACAGCATGGGGGTCAAGGCACATGGGGCCTGAGCGCATGGGGGCTGCCATGCATGCGTAGCATGGCCAGCTTTTTCATAGGGCCCTCCGGGTATCACCCCACGAAGAAGATCGAGGCCCCGAAACAAGGGAGCCCTGAGGGTCATTAATCGCAAGAGGTACCGGTTAACATCCGGAGCAAGGCTAAACGCAATCCTCGCACTACCAGAAACTCCTGATATGGAAGCCCACGGCGTGTTACTAAACATGGAAAACCCCCACCTCAACGGCAGTCTTGAGGAGAGGAGATATATCTGTAAACCGGTACTCCTCATTGCGTGTAGTAGGCATACGCAGCGTAGCAAGGGCGCCAGTGGACGCTTCGCGTAACGTGACCAGGCTGCGTGGATCCCATTGTCCAAGTTGAATTTGGATCATAGTCTGAGTGATGGAAATTTTTCAGGCATCGGCCTTACCCGGGTGGCGTGGCAACATCTTTTACAGTCCGCGCCAGCCACTTATCCTCCGGCGCCACTTGGATTGCGGAGGCCACGGCAGCACTCTTGCAGGGTTTGCAAGCGTGTCTCGGTAAAATGAATAAACCAAAACGCTGGCCTACGCGCAATTGCGAAGAGTCCATCGTGAAGCGTTGATTGTCTACTATCCTGCCGCAATCGCTCAAAATTGGCTGCCTTACCGGACAACATGGGTCGAGACATATTGCCAACGGAAGTTTGCATTCTTGCAAATCTCCTTGCCGATGTAAAGTCTTAACTAGTATTTGCCACGTCCTCCAAATAAAGTGATAATTATCTCAGCAAGTCCAACAAAGGATCGAGTATGGATAAATTAAATGTCAATACCTAAAAGTAAGACCAACTTTTGCAACAAACGACTCCCGGTTTGGTTCCGGAGCGCCTTGCTTGTTTTTGAATGCGAAACTATAAATATTCACGATGAAATAATGGCATATGGTGTATGATATACACGCATTTCCCATGCGATCGTTGTAAGACACGGCGAAGATCGTTGTGAACAACTACAGCCCGGCCGTCGACAGCACCCGACCTGAGACCGGTTAAGAGAATCGTTTGCACAGCGACGTATGCACGTATGCTGTTCAAGCGCACTGTTGCGCATAACTATTGCAAAACCTGTTTCAAATCAATTGGACCGCAGCAGTAGCATCATAAAACACCAACGGAAAAGATTGACGGTGCGAAGAAGCTCGAGTTGTAGTTTGCCGCCAGCGGCGGCAATGGAACCGAGGGTGGAACCGAGGATGGCCAAATCGCGCGGCGTGAGAAATAGCTCTTCGTCTTCGTCCTGTAGAACTTGAGAGGCGAGTTGCGCAGCCACAACGGTGGCTATGATAGGCAGCACCCAATGGAATATAACTGCATGATACGAATGTCGTTGCTCAGTTTCAGGCTTCTAGACTGGCAGAAGGCATACTCAAATGCCATGCGATGCACCAGGCGCCGCCTGTCGGGGGGACACCGCTCGACGAATCAGCAGCATCCTTGGTGTTGAGCAACACATTGCATTACTTTGAATGTGATCAGGATCCTGCCATCACACGATTCCCACACGCCATAGGTTGCAGGACGTTGGAAGCCGCTTGGACAAATCTGAAAAAACGTGACCCCAGCATGCCTCACCCGGCAAGCCCCAGCAACATCCCCCAATCCCAGTCATGCAGCCCACAATCCCCATCTCCACCATCTGCCTGTCTGCCGTCGCTGTGCACCGAACACCCGCATTGATCCACAGCCACCACCTTCTAGGCCGCATTCTTCCACGGCTATGGCGATGATGAGCGGCAGCCGCCGGATCCGGCAGTAGGGCCGCCAGAACACGGGACAGATGCAGATAAGGGCGCAACAGCAAGTCCAGACGCACACACAGTATTGCAAGTACCAGGTAAAGGCGCAGCAAAAACCTTTGCGCGACAGGCGCCTAGAGGGGAAGTGTGGGGCCCCGGGTTGGAAGCCGCTGGATTGTGAGGAAACGCCACACTTGATGGAGCCGGCGGTGATGGGAAAGACTTGCCCGCTGCCGCAGACTCCAGGTACTCCTCACCAACCGCGTTTTTCCCATCACCGCCGGCTTCACTGGGCTCCATCAAGGCCTCGTCGGCCTCCCCCAGGCCCTGCCCCGGCGCCACAGCCCCGCCGGGCAGCCGCCAGCGTAGCGCATGAAGCCGACGGTGCAGGCGCCGTCGACGATGAGGGAGCTGTCCAGGTGGCCATCAGCCCAAAGGTGCCGCGCGTGTCCCACACGGCTCAGGTAGGTCCAGCCAAAAGCTCGGGTCACACCCAGGATGACGCGGCGGAAGGCGTTGAAGCCGCCCAGGGCCGTGCAGATCTGGTATGCGGGCGGCCGGGCGGGTGGGCTAGATGTGAGACGGGGTTCACACTGGTGGCGTGGCCGGCCCTTGATCCATGTATGTCAAAAGGTGGGGGAGGAATTGGAACATGGACGGCATTGAACACGGTTTGGCCCTCTGTCGTGAGTATTGAAGAGGGAGAACGGGAGGGAGGGAGGGAGGGAAGGGGGGAAAGGGCAGATCCATGACCAAGTTAAGGCCGTATCAAGGCCGTATTCAAGGAACGCTGCGGGGAGGTCTTTCGCACATGACTATCTATCTACTACCTATCTATCCCGCGCATGTGGCGACTCCTCGCCTTGGGAAATGTGAACGGGCTGGTGGCCTTCAGACAGGAAGCAGGCCCCGCATCGATCGTAGCGACAGAGGGAAGGAGTTACTTGCAGCGATTCGTTTTGATTCCGAAAGGCCCAGAACAGTGCAGAGGGAGGTGAGGAAGGGCCGTTGCCATAATCGAAGCCCACCATAAAGCAAGCCCCTGACCGATCCGTGGTTCCCAGGTTTACATTATAGCCTACCAAACAACCTACCCCACGACGCACCGCAGCAGCCTGATCTGAAACCCATGACCACCTGGTGCAAGATCCTAGACAACATACCGACAACCCCGGTGAGCGTGAGCCACACCAGCCGTGCTCACTTACTAGGAAATGCTCCCATCCAGTTCAGATACCGGCGTGTCTTAACCCCGATGGCTCCGGTCACAACCTACCTCCATTCCCCCCAAAGATGAGTACTTCGCACTAAGTGGTATTTGCCGCCATGCCAGTCGCCTGAAAATCTTGACCTAGCAAACCGAGGGGTGTTCTATTGGGGTTTGGTCCCCCATCTTGTGGACCGTGTAGGACGTGAGTAGTTCAACTAGCGACCTGAACTAAGTTATGTCGCCGTTGATCCGCTAGATTTGGTAGGATGCTGTTGGTGAGTTGCTGAACCCAACTAATACATCCTGAAATCGGATGGAATGAATGGATTAGGGTGGCCCTCTCGCAGGGGAGAGCAGGGAACTACCTCGGGGGGCCGCTGGTGAAGCTATACCACCCTGTAACAACATCATACTACCCATCTTCAAGCGGACCTTGACTTCGGTGCAGCTAGCCTTGAGGGCGTCCAGGCTGCACCCTTGCAGGCCATATGCTGGCCTAGGAAACATCTAAGTCTTCAGCAATCGGCAATAGAGTCCAAGTTATAATTGGCTAAACTTGCAGGCTGACGCAGAGCACACCCAACACTGTTGGTGGCCACAGGGTTTTCACGTGGGTTACGAAGAGTGTAACCCCCATACTCACCTGCTAGCGCCGCGGCCTCTTACGCACCTTACGTTCGCATCGAGAACCACGAGTCCTCGCAGTCCTTTGCAGAATAAACTAGTCGCAGCGGGTCGCTTTAACAGTCGCTGCTACAGGCTGTCGCACGCAATCACGCCCGGCCCTCTGGCTCCTCAAACCTCACATGCCTTCACAAACTTCTGGCTATCACCACCAGCTGACAAACATGAGAAAATCTTATTTGGGCCACCTTCCCTGGATGCACATGTGCACGCGCTACCTTCCACCCTAGCAGACCGGCCAGGACAACTCCCAGTCTAGTGTTGTGCGCCAATTGCCGGTCGACTTGGTTAATTGGTACAGCATATGGCCGCGTGCACCGAAGTCACGGAGCTGACCTTGTCTTTTGATGCTCGGCCGTCATCTCCTTGGAGAGCCGTACAGCCGAGCTGCGGTCCGCGTGTGTTCGCACCGTATATGAAGTTCCGCTTGGGATAAGTCCACCCATAGAATGCTAATTCTGCATTCACCTTGGCGTCGGCCTTTTGCTTCGTGAGCTACTGTAGGCTACTTCGTACATCATACCCCACTGGGGGGGTGTCTCATCGCACCCCAGACACGTTTCGTGGCCACAACCAGAAGATCTCTTATCCTCCCCATCTCCATCGCACTCGACTTTCTAAAATTATAACGCATGATGCAGTGTGTCCATCTTCCAATTTATACACGTGACTCGTTGCTCCCCAGGAAGGCATTGGCGGCACCTACCAGCGCTGTGCCAGGCGTAACAAGACACAAATTACAAGTTCCGCACGCACGTGCGGGGGGTGGGCGCTATGGACGGTAGATTGGAGTTGATGCGGGTACGCGGGGCCCCTTTGGCCGTAACGGTCGCTGCATTATCACGACAGAATGCGCCAGACTTTGTACAGTGGACCAGCTGGAGGGAATGCAGCTGTGGCGACTCGAGGGTGCGATGCTGGTCCAGATCACCAGGGCATGCGATCAACGTCCTTTCAGTCGGTGGTCGGGCTGATTCCCCGTCTATCGTCCATTGCATTTGCGTAAATACTGGCCATCATGCCATCATGCGCAGTTTGTGCAATGGCTTGGATGCGTTCAAGCTAAGCGTCGCTAAGCTAAACCTAAGGGGGGTAGGTAGGCAGGGCAAGAAGGGGGCATCCGGCCGCCCCGCAAAACGATGAAGATGACGTAGTTGCGCTTGGTCGTAATGCAGCGCAAGCATTAGCTGTGCTTGTGGTCCGATAAACAGCCTTATTGATCATCTGTGGACTGCACTAATTGGCTGTGACTGCCTGTGTTGCATTCCGTCGCGTACGCAGGTTCGTGGCCATGGCAGGCTGATCGGCCTTTCATGAAAGGTCAAACATGACCTCCTGTAACGCGCAAGGCGTGACCTCCAGTCATGCAGTATTACCGCAAGGGTTTGTTGAGCCCATTTACAATTTTCAGCACTCCGAGTAGGTGCGCACGGTGCAACCCCGCGACTGCTTGTTTGCTTCCGGTATCGGATACCAGAAGGTTCATACCTTCTTAAAGCTCAGAAGGTTCTGTCCTTTTTACGGGTGCACACAAAGAGGATGTCCTGCAGAGGCGGAACCGGTTCCTTCGTAACCCCACATCGCACCACAGGTCCATAAGGTACTCATTAGTCCTTCCTGCATCGTGTCAGCCGCGCAGCGTCGACGGATTCCCCCACATGAATTCGCATTCGAGTCCGACTCCAGCGAGGCCCCCTCTCATCGCCCTTACAACGGCAAACGAGGAAAAATTTACCACAGCCCCACGCGTAACATACAATGCATTCCGCAACCGTACACTTGAGTTCTGATGATTAAGTGCAAGACGGTTCCCTTATCGGGGACGCCAAGTGTGTTGGTGCAGCCCACGTGATGGCGTCGACGTCACACTCGTTCAGTACGTAAAACACACGAGGTAAAGCCAAGAGGCACCGCAGCTTATAATAATATGAGTCTAGTGCATAAGAGCGCACAGCGCGCCAGAGCAATTTCCACAAGCCGAGAAAAACACATATTCCATACCCCGAGGATTAGACCCCTCGCCGAAGACACGACAGCCGAATATCGGCCGGCATGCATAATCAGCAACCCGCCATCCTCTTGCTCCATCCCACAAGCAGTGCAGTAGTTTTGATGCCAGTTTGCCAAAGATGCCCTTATTATTCCACTCGCTCAATCCATTCAATTTAACTGCTATGCGGCTTGAATGGCCGGCCGGCTAATATGCTTAGCGCCAGCGGAAGGGCGCTTGCCGCATGCATTATTGCCGCCACCTTCGGCACCGCCTCGGCCCTTATTTTGGACCCCATTGTCGCTCGCCGCCGCGACCTTGCCGCCCGATGCTGCGCCCACTCCGCGCGATACAGCCGCGCGACCTGTGGCTCCATGGTTGATTGTTGACACCGCACCATTGCCCAGACAGGCGGATGCACCGCGATGGGCGAAGGGCGAGGAGCACGTGAGCTCGTCTGGGCTGTTGTCACTTGGGGAAGCCGGTGCGGGCCCATTGGGTAGCACGTGTGAAAGCTCCCCAAGCAACGCTCCCGAAGCCACTGCACCCGCAGTCATAGCCGGCGTGATGCTGGAAATTGCAGCGGGCCTATCCTCGCACCGCACCCCACCTCCCCCGTGGCGCCTTGCCAACCTACAACTTCGGCCATCCCCGGTCGCGGCATCGGGCTGTGCTGCAGGTGTCCCTGCGGCGCCATCCGGCGGCGATGAAGCAATACGTCCTAAACCTCGCGCTGAGCCGCGTCGTCGTTGTTGCTGTGCATGATGATTCGGGTTCCTCTTCAGCTGCGTCTGATGAGGCTGCCGTTGTTGCTCTTCTTGCCATTGCCGTTGTTGTTCTTGCTGCTGCTGCTGTTGCCAGCTGAGCGCGGCCTCATGGCAGTGGCCTGAGTTGAGGCTCCTGTCTGCAGCGGCCGAGGGCACTGACCGAGAAAGGAGCATGGGCTCAGGGCCGCCATCTCGATGCGGGCTAGGGAAAGATTGGGATGACCTAGCTCCGTAGGCAGCATGGAAGCTGTCCCCGAGCAACCTGCCGTCCTGTAGTTCAACATCAATGCGGCGGCCAGGCGCAGAAGCGTAGTCACTGTTTCCGGTAACGCCATTCCCACCAATTTCGATGAAATCTCTCTGGCTGAGCCAGACGTTCCCACCGACGTCCCTCGTCCCGGCGTAACCGCCATAGCGCTGTCTGCCGTGCAAAAGGTGGGCGCCGGGCCCCTGCGTCTTGTCCCCTCCGGAGTAAGTCTCCACCACGAGGCCGTCGCGGTCACTGAGCTGCTGCGCATCCTCCAGGTCCTCCTCATTCACCGCATCGAGGCGCTGGCGGGAAACGTCGTACATGCCGTACATCGCATTGCCAGCGACAGTGGTCCCCAACCGAGTGCTAGACGCGCCGCTGTGATGCCGCCGCCGCAATCCACCGCCGCGCCCACCAAGCGGAACTGGGATAGGCTCCGCTAGGATGGCGCTATCCCTAGGCACAGGCATGTTGCCGTCGTTGCAATACAACGGCGGCTGCGCGGCCAGCAGGTGACTTTCATCCCCGGTGGAGCCCAGGTGGACCATGTCCAAGTCGTAAAGGGAGTGCTCAGCGGGGGCGGAGGACAGGCTTGTCACCAGCTCGGGTTCCTCGTCGAGGTCCGCGTCGTGGTCGGGACCAGGCAGCGGAATATCAAAAGGTGGCAAGCTGGTAAAGGATGGCATGCTGACGAATGCGGGAAGAGGCACCGACGCCGCGACTGCGGGTGGCAGGCGCTCCTTCTGGCGCGTAATAAACCGGCGTAGCTGCAGCAGCAGCGACACACGGTGCTGCACGGCCGTCTGTGCAACCGTGACGCAAAAGTTAACAACAGCCTGCACGGTATGGAGAGATAAAATATTGGGGCACTTTGGCAAATACGAAACCACTCGGACCTGCCATTGCTAAGGTGTAACACTTCTCATGGAAATCTAGGCTACCTTCCCGCTTGCAAGGGTCGACGCATGTAGCACTCAATGCATGCATGCACGCATCCATCTATCCATCATATCTAACATGAATTCAGGATTCCTTGCCTACAGCGGCCACCCGTGTGGGAAATGCCGCGGATCACCTGTCATTACTCCAACGTCGTAATTCCTAGCCACACCCTCACCTGCGCTGACTTGAATGCTTGGAGGAACGTCAGACGCACAGCATTGTATGCACCAACCACCTCCAGTCCCAGCCACTGCCACACCGCCATGCCGCCGCTCAGACCGCCACCACCGCCTCCTGCAGCGCTTCCCGCCGCCTGCGCAGCCAAGCGCGCGCCCGCCTTCACTGCAGGCGCCGCGCGGCGTGCAGCGCGACCCAGTGTCACCATCCACTGCACTGCTGCCCGTGTAGCCTCTGCGGCCACGGCCAGGCGCTCGGCCAACTCCGCGCTGGCCCAGGTCAGGACCCCGCCGATGCTGCAGGCAAGCTGTAGCGGGCCCACGAACACCATTCCGATGAGGGCAGCCACGAGACGAACCAGCTGTGCTAGCAGGACGGCCATAGCCCACAGGGCCCGGGCAGGTGGCCCCAGCACCGCCGCCGCGAGAGCGAAGACCTCACGTCCAAAAACCGCCAGCGCAGTCACAAACGGCTGCATCGCCCGCCACACGGTCTCTGCAGCTGCCATCACGCCGCCGCCTACGCTTGCTGCCATGACCTGCACAGCCTCCAGCACCGGCTGCATTGCCTCCGATAGCGCCATCGCCGCAGGCCGCATAAGCTGCTGTAGCAGTGCTACCAAGCTCCTTAGCATCCGCATCAGCGACATGAGAAGGGGCGACTTGGAAAAGAGGTAGGTGAGCAAGATGGACATGCGGATCTGCGTGTGGCGCTCAAGCCACTCGAACAGCTCCGAGGCGGGCAGGTACATCCTCGATGCCACTGCCGTGATGACCTGCTTCAGGAAAGGAACGTTCTTGTATAGGTCGTAGAAGCCACAGCCCATGGAGAAGATGGAGACGGCGATGAAGAGCAGCCACAGAGCGCGCCGGAGCCATGGACGGTACGGCAGGCCATAGCTGGGCATGAAAACCGCCCATGGCGGCAGCCCACTCTCGTACAGCTTCAAAATACGCATGTCGCTCTGCGCGAGCACAGGAGGCGCCCAACAAGGGTACATCCGAAGCGATTCCGCGTGTTCACTTTCGCCCTCGGGTCCAACCGCATTGCGAGTGGAAGTTTTAACAACGGCGAATGGGAATTTTGCAGCCCTACCACAAGCATACCGCGGTCGTGGGCCAATAATGGATCCAAATAGCACAATAAAGCATGAATAAGCCCATATTATATCGGATTGATATGACCAAAAGGCTTTCCAGGACTCTACACACGGGATGGAGTCAAGTCTCTGGCAGTTTGTCCCATATCCTGCACCCTTATAGCACGGCCGCAGGCTACGCGAAATCATAGAGAACACAGTCCATTACATCCGCAATGCCGTGTCAGAGTGGACGCAAAATCGCCCCACAGAAGTACCTTGACAAAGCGGCGCAGCTCTTGCGGCAGGAAGGGGTCCCGAAAGCCGAGCACCAGGGTTTTGGAGTAGAACGTAGCGCTGGGTTGCGTCCAGCGGCTCGCCCGAGGAACCCCGCTATTGTTGCAGAGCATCTCGCCTCCGTTACATCCCCTACTGTCAAAGCTTACGTCTGTCAGTTGCGTACAGCTTGCATGTTCCCGACGGACGCGCCCGCCGCCATTCCGCCGCCGAAGAAGCCATTCGTTAGCCGTGTGCTGCTGCTGCTGCTCTGACAAAAACGCGGCCCTGAGCGAATCAATACTGGAACCGCAGCCAAGAGCAATCCCACTGCCAGCGCTGGTACCGGTTCGGTTCTGTAAAAGCCTCCCGGCGCTGCATACGGCGCTGCGCGTTTGCGCTGCGGCAGCGCGGGTACAAGCGCCTGCCGCGCTCGCGCACCACTCCGCGGAGTTCACGGCGAGGCCAGCAGCAGCAGCTTCAGAAGGGTTGCCTGTATGAACGCTTTGCAAGCATTCCAGGGTGCCATCCAGACCGCAAAGGTCGTTGGTAGACCGCGCCTTGCGAGATGAGCCGCCAAGTGACTTACGGTGCCGACTCTCTGCACACATCCTCGAGGATTCCACCGACGCTACACCCAAGGGGAGTGATGGCAGTGAGTGAGGGACGGGCATCATGGTGCGTCCAACCGAAGTCCCCATCAGAAGTCCGATCCCCCAATTGTTACTGGGTTGATAATGAATAAGCATCATGGCGTGTCTGCTGCCATTGCTCATGCCGTGTGACAATTCCAGCGTGCGTCCATGGAATCCGCCGACCGCCATTACCGCTCCTCATAAACCCGTTGCCGCTCACCTGCCGCTACGGCGCCTGCAGGGACTGTCTCCACGGCCCCTGACCCGGGCAATGCCTCAACCGAGCGCAGTTGCAGACGGCGACGGGCCGCCACGCCGGCTTCGCTGAGGCCGTCCGGCACCAGCATCCCTGTGGCTGATATCCGTAGGTGGCGACAGGCCCCCTCACTCTCATCCGCCGATGCGAAATCCATGCCGTGGCTCATGCGAACATCGGAGGCCATTGCAAGTGTCCCCTCGGTGCACGCCGCATGCACCGCTCTGCAGCTTGTGCGGGGTGCCCGAGTAGCACTGGAGCTTCGTTGCGCCCCAGGCTCGACGCTGGGCCTGAAGCCACCCGAGGCCACGCCGCGGCCCAGTGCAAGCCATTCGCCCCCGGCGCTTACGCTGCCACTAATGCCCCCGGCCACGCTGCGAACATCCGCGGAAGCCACCAGCCTTAGCCCCATGCCCGTGGAAGAGGTTGCCCCCCAGCTGACGGGGTGTATGGCGCGAGGAGGCGAAACAGCCAGCGCTGCCCTGCACCAGCAGCATGACAATCCCACCAGGTTATGACGATGACGGAGTTGTGCTCAGGCAATTATGGGTTTCCGGGACAACCCCTTAAGGTCTAAAGAGGGGCTACATGGGGCTGAGCAAATACATGGCCCCGCGATGCAGACGAGTGGCCATGAGGGACCCTTGCGGATAACAACTTGAATCTCAAAGCTGCACGCAGCATTAGACCACACCGCCCAGTTTCATGCAGCCCCGGTTTCGAGCAGCGAGCCTGCTTCACCGCTTACCCCAAATGCAATGAGCTTGTGGAGGAAAACAGCGCATGCCGCCCGTCCAAGGAAACTTTGCTTGGCGTAGGGGCAGCTGAGTGGGAGGTCCGCAGCGAGCCACCGGCGAGCACCGTTGCGTGCGGTGAATAAAAGTCCCGTGCATCGCCCACCTGCGCAACGTGGAGCACGCTCTCACGTGCACATTCACAAGCATGCGATACGAAATAATGCGCTCTTTTAGAGCTTCAACTCGTAGGACGATCGGAAACTCATAGTCCATTAAGGGATGCCCATGCAAGGGCGGCCTCCCTGGCGCGTTCCAAAGCCTCACCGTCTTGAAGCAACGCTTCACCACTTGCCGGGCCTCTAATACCAGTTTGCCGTCATCATGAAGGGGACAGCGGTAATCCACACCCACGATTGAAGACCAGTTAATTTCGAGCGCAACTACCTGCGCATTTCCCGCGACCATAAGTAGATGGGTTATTTCAGTAGGTAGCTTTGTGACTGCCGGCGGACGCTTAAACCGATGGTAGATGGACGCTTGCCAGACACTGGGTAAGCAGCATAGGGCTGGAGTTTCAACGGCTGAACACTTTTCCGGCCGGAAGCTAGGAAGCTAGCGTATTTGACTCTCATGGCAAAGCACCCTCCAGATCTTGAACAGAACATGACGGCCAACTAACTGCTCAGGAAAACCCCGTTCCTCGGCCCGCGCACGGATAGTTTGTAACTGCCAAAAACGACTGAGTAACACAACAGGGCGGCCAAGCCTAGAACAACAGCATTACACGTCCACCCCGCACAGCTTTTGCGTCATAATCGCTGTCAGCTTCCTCACGGAAACCTCGGCTGGCAAACCTTACCCTGTGTGCCGGACTGTCGTCACCCCAGCTGAACGGGTTGTTCTTATCCCAAACCCTATGGAGCACATGCTGAACTGCTTTTCCTATGCGTCCATCAGCCTGCGGTGCAGCTCGACCGGAATTGTTACGATGTCGACAACATGCAGAAGCGCTAGGGACACCCTGTAACAGTAAACGCCCACCTGCTGTGGTTCTTCACGAAGAACAATAATAATGAAACGCTTGTTCTCGTGATCAGAAAGAAGAGCACGATAGGGGCATCTTCGGGGCGAGTGAACGCTGAGGAGGAACATAAGACAAGGTTTAAACATTTATGTGTGACAAGATTTGACGGCAAGCTTCTTACCCAACGCTGAGCGACGTTAAGAAGTGCATCTTGGTCATCCTTCTGGCCACCTGCCTGCCGAGTCAGTGTTCAGCATGATAGGTAACGCTGGAATTATGTTTGTAGGTGACGAAACACAAAAACAACGCTTCTGGACGCTCGCTTGCCTGAGGGGCCAGTCGGATGGCTGACGTACTCACTGCCCTCCTTGCGAACAGTTTCCGGACTTTGGCGCTAATATCCCGTGCAGGTATATAACAGTGTCTATAGGCCATCATCTTATGCCTTTTGCATTGCCGCTGCTCGCAAACACTACCTGGAACAATGGTGTACAGACGCGAGACTTGAACAGCACACAAGCGGCATAATCCTCATCATACAAGTAGCAAAAAGGACGCGGTGCATCTGTGCGGGACTATTTTAACATGCATAGGATGATAGGCGCATGAATTTGCATGACATATGACAACCGTTTTGGGCCTAGCGGCCTAGCCACGCAATGGCAGCATTGGAGTTCAGGATTAAGTTTGTGTCTGATAGGCATGAACCCGACTTCATCGCGCACGTCCAAGATGGGGACACCATGGAAGCAGTTGTTCAACAGGTGTGCATGGAGCACGCAGCGATGGATGCCGTGCATGAAGCGTGGATTGCTTACAAGATTGGGCCAACGTTCCTGCACCTCAGGTGTGCAAGGCCAAGCACATTCCGCAGACAAAACGGCTGAGAATTCTTTGCGCTGGGCGAGAGCTATATGCAGGTACAAAAGTTGCAAAATGCTATGGCTTGGGTTTGCGATCTGTGTCCGCTTGTATCTCCGCGCACCTACGGTGCTGCAAACTAACGGCCTGCTGTAGATGACCTGGCGTCGAAAGCACCTGGTAGGGTGCTGCACTGCATCGTGACCGACACGGAGCCTCAGCAGCCAGAGCCGGCACCGCAGCGTAAGGCGGTGCAACCACCCCCACCCGTGGTTGAGCAGCAGCCTCCTGTAGACTGGGTAAGACAACATGCTATCTCTGCGCATGTTGCTTGTCAGCTGACGCTGGCCCATTGGTACCGCCTTTGCCATCGCCGCAGCTGGATGTGGTTGACCCTGAGACCGTGTTGATGTGGATATTTGGCTCCATCTTGGCGTTGCTATGGCTCCTCTTCATGTTTTACGGTTAGTTATCCGTTCTAGGCGGAGATTTTCCGTGAAGCTGCAGGCGCGCTTGGTCTGCCAGCGGGGGTCCAGGCAATGTCCAGGCAATGTCCGAGGGCGTGTGTAGCAGCAATGCCACAAATCCATCCAGTTTTCAGTTCGCCAATGGAGGAGGTTCTGACAAACCGGATAAGTGCAAATCCTGACGCCTGAAGCCACTGTAGCATCCGCACCACAACAGGCGGACCTAGCAGTATACCAGATAGCCGCCCTGCTCGTACCATTCGGTGTGCCATCCGCGATGCCGTGTATCCCATGTAGCCTTCCCGCAACGCTTCAGCTTCTCAATATCGCCGTTTTCCCGTTCGCAGCCAACATGTTCGACAAGACCAGTATTGTCATGCTGGTCATGATGACGGTGGCGTTCCTCATTCCCTGCCTGCTCAGCTACCTTCCATGCCCGACCTTTTTCCAGCCCCAGCCGCCGCAGCCTTCTCATGCAGCACAGGGGACATTGGAGACTTCTGGCCCTGCAACGGGTCGCTCAACAGCTGTACCTGCGGTGGCAGTTTGGCAGCGGCATCCATACGACGGAGAAATCCCGCCCCGACCGCCAGCGCGTGTTCGACCAGGCAGCTGACCACACGTAAATGCGCCCGCGGGGGGGCGAGCTAGTGGGGCTGATGACTCCAATGCTTATGACACACGGACCTGGTGCAGTTAGGGGCCCGCAGGAGGGGATTAACCCCATGAAGAAGAGGCTAGAGCTAGAACTTTGCCTTATTGGCCGCATTATGGATGGTTAGCTCGAAAAGTTCAATATTCAATTTTCGTGAATGGTTGGGGTGGCTGCTGTGGATAGTCGCATTTTGGGAATAGAGGCTTTTAATGGATCACTAGCCACAGCAGTTCTTAAGTGTGCTCCTGCGTGGGTAGCTTGATTGCGAATTTAAAAGTGCACCTGAAGCATGGATGTAGCATTTTAGGTTGGCTGACCGTGCGCGTTGTGTGCGCATCAGACGGACTTTGCACGCGGAACATTCCTTTGACCCTTCGGACATCAACCTGTCGGGTATAATCCGTGTATAGCAAGCGAACTGACCTGGCTTTTGGAGACAGGTCGAGACTGTCGTTCTGTTTCTATGTAGATCCTGGAAATTGCTGTTATAAGACGTGGGTAGAGGTCAGTTGACCATTCATTTGTGAAGCAGCGTTGCTAATGGCGTCACGAGGGAGATTTTAAGTGTCCCATCGGTGGCTGGTTGAGCTTCTTGAGGGGACGGAGAGTCGCTCAGGAGCTTCGCGGAAACAACGGCAGGTCATCCCTGTCATCCACCCCCCGGCAGGAAAAGGCGGACATGGGCAGTAAAATACCATTATTAACACACTGATTAGTTGGGGCACCTGCCCCGCCTTGCATTGTCTGTGTGGTGCATTGGTCAGGGCGAGGGACAGGCTGATGTGCGAGCGAGGTGAGTGGGAGGCTGTTCAGCTTATGGGAACACACTAGATGCTGTTAGAAGCGTGCTTGCCAAACGCCAGTCTATGGATAGCCCGCTCCCGTTGCGTAAAAGCGTGCCCTACAGCAGAATGAGCCTTTGGCCGCGCAGCAGGTTACATGGCGCACGCCCGATGCGAAGCCGCAGGGGGCCGCCCACAAAGTCTGGCATAGGCTGGCAACGTAACAACGTTAGGTGACGCGATTTGCCTTGTGCTCCGATCACGTATGTGAACGTAGAAGCGTGTGACTGGACACGTGCATGTGCGTTAGCCAGGTTAGCCCCAGCGTTGTGCAAGTGTATTAGGCCTAGCCTAGGGCCAAAGGTTTTCCGCTGAGCGCGGGGAATTCAGACTCTTTGTTTTGGGCACCGGCGAGGCAAATGGATCATCGCTGGAGCTGCTCACCTTCTGAAGGCTCTCCTCCAGTTTGCACGACGCCTGTCCGTTACGGCACGCCGTTGTAGAGCTTTCCTTCATCTCTGTGCACTTAATTGCCATTTTGCCATGGTGTCACGCTTGCAAAATTTTACTAATAGAATTAATTTCACCGCAATATAAGATATGGCAACGCAGGCAGTCTCTTGGACGCGTCAGGCGTTTTCTGCTGCTAGCCGGCTGCCTGGTAAGGATTTTTGTCGGCATGGTTAGTTGCGTCTGCAGTACACAAGAACATATAAAAATTCCAATTACTTAAATTACGCAGCCCGAGCTGTGACGCGAAAGGTTGTTGTCAGGACGTTGGCGTCGAAGGCAGATACGATCAAACAAACTGTGGCCGATAACAAGGTCGTGGTTTACTCTAAGACCTACTGCCCATACTGCACTCGGGTGAGATATTGTTTAGGCTGTATGCCTGGTGGATTGCTGTTCCTCAGTCGTTCGGTGGGCACCGCAGGTCAAGGGCCTGTTCACCGAGCTTAAGGTACCATATAAGGTCCTCGAGCTTGACAATATGGGTAAGCGTTGGGCGCATACATGGATTTGAAGCCGAACTTGTGACCAAGCGAGGGCTCGCACGCAGGCTCGGAGGGCGCCGAGATTCAGGACGCATTGCAGCCGATCACCGGCCGGCGTACTGTTCCACAAGTGTTTGTGGGTGGAAAATTTATCGGCGGCTGTGACGGTTAGTGGCATTAAGGGGTCAAACATCCCGGGGGGTTGTGCTAAGTGTCGGGTTTGGAATTGCTTGGGAAGGCTCACGCTGTCAGTGTATGATGTCATTGTGTAGATGCATCTGATTTGATACACGTTGCATGTGCTATATTCACACTCTGTCCTACTGGAAGCGACAGCCGGATCACGAACCTATGGGACATGACGGCCGTGGTGGACCTGTACAGATACCAGGCTACTGCCGAAGCCTGTCGATGACTTGGGGTCCAAGCTAGGTGACGTATTCGCTCATCCATGCCCTTTATAACCGTGCAGACACTATGGCGGCGCATGCTGCGGGCAAGCTGAAGTCTGTCCTGGGCGAGGTCGGGATCAGCATTTAAGAAACCCTGTACGAACGGCATACGGCGAGGGTTGCCAAAGGTGGCGTTGTTTTGTTCAATTACGCACCATAAAGTGGGAATTTTCTATCGTGTAACATTACCGGGATTTTACTGCATTCTTCTCTGAAAGACTTTCGCGTCCGCTTTCTTTCAAGCCTCTACCAATAGCGAATTGCGTAGCGGCAAGATACCCGTGCCTCCTTAATTAGATATCGACTAAAGCCTTGACAATTAGTATGGAAAGTGACGGCGATGACCTCGGCGGCGGCCCTCAAGAGGTCATCGACTTCGGTTTCCAGGATGAAGAAAAGAAAATTGGAGGACGACGAGCCAAAAAGCTCAAGGAGGAGAAAAGAAAGATGAAAGCGGGGTCTTTCGGTGAGCGACGGTACATCCTGCCCAGGCTCCATTCGGCTTCGCTTACCTGCCATAGCGGTGTGGGTTCGTATCGCGTGCATGGACGAGCCTACATATGTTCAGGGCCTGGCGGCTATTCCAAATTGTTTCCGTTGGCACAATCTCCCGGCTGGTGTCAGCTATCAGCAAAACCCAACCCCCTAGTGCTTGGGCCGCGTGCGGGTTGCACCATTCCCCGCGTCTAATCCCCAACTTAATCCTCCCTTGTGGGGCGTCCCTCTAGTCCAACGCTTGCGTGCGCCGTGCGCCCCGTTGTGACCTGCACCAGCATGGCTCACGACACCTGAACCCTCAGCATCACCCCCGACGACGGCCTCGAGCCCTCTGGCTACCTTTCTCTGCATCTCCGCGAAGCGCATTCTGCCCATATCCCTCATATCCCTCCACTATCGCTCTCTACCCTCCCATGACCCGGGCCCCACCAGACACCATGGGCTTCGCGCCCGAGGTCCTGCGCGCCATCAAGCGCAAGGGCTACCGGCTGCCCACCCCCATCCAGCGAAAGGCCATGCCGCTCATTATGCAGGGCCTGGACGTGGTGGGCATGGCGCGCACGGGCAGTGGCAAGACGGCGGCGTTCGTACTTCCCATGATACACAGGCACGTGGGGAACGGCGCACGCGTGGCCGTATCTCTGCACGTGCCCGGGAGTGCCTCGTGCATTTGTGCATGCGAGCGGGTACCCAAATCAACTGACGCGGATGTGCACAGACATGGATGGGCAAATGAGGCATCGGAGTGGGTATGGGCTCGCAGATGGCCAGTTCAGCAGGGTTACTGCAGGGTTGCCGGCCGTGGACGCTCTTCTGTTCTTCTCTTCTCTCGGACGGGCGCAGTGTGCTGCGGCCGCCTGGGTTGAAGGGAAGGAAGGAGCCCAGGAAAGGAAGTGCCAAAGCTATTGCTGCCGGTTGGAAAGAGTGCTGTTGGTCTGTTGGTCTCTCAGTTGCCATGTACGGCAATGAGCGGAATCCGCAGTGTTGGCCGGGGGGGAGCCGCCGGCGAGTTATGTTTCTGGGTTTCCAGGGGAGCTGTTCACTCAGCCCCAAATCCACCCGGGTCTAGGGAGGGTGGCATCTCCGAACGAGACGAGATATGGCGATGGTGCGATTATCATCCGCAACTGGCTTTGGGACCGCCCCGGCACCCTGTGGGCTAGCCAGCAGGCGACAGGAGCTGGCGCCGGGGTGTGGAACAGGACGTGGGGAGCCGCAGCGTCCGGCCCGTACCCCGTGTGCTCACCCCCCACCGGCACCCGGGCGGGCAGGAGGGCCTGATACACGTCGTACCGCGGCAGAGACAGCACCGTTTGACAGACTGGGCCCGACCCACCCACGTGCTGTTAGATCCGGACAAACACATCATACCCTGTGTTCACAGCACAGTCCCGGGATTCCGTTAGGAGTCCATCTGTTGACGTGTTGCCCCTTCAAATGGCCACCCTCCCCACCGTCCCCAACGGCTGTGGCCCCCGCAGACTCAAACAGCACAGCATCAAGGCCGGAGCCAGGGCGGTGATTCTGGCGCCCACCCGCGAGCTGGCGCTGCAGGTACAGGGAGCAAGAGCAAAGGCAGTCACAGCAACACTAACAATAGCGTGAAATGAATAGCCAGCAACGCTTTATTTTCGTGTTTGTGATGGCGAATGAAGTTACATGGAGTGCATGAGCAGGTAGAGTGGCGCGGGGCGAACCCAGAGGTAGGCATGAGCGCATGATAAAGGAGATGGATGTTTCCTGAAGGGCTGCTGCCGCACCGCCCGCCCCGTCCGCACGGCCCCTCCTCTCCGCTCCCGCGTCCTCAGACCCACAAGACTGTCCGCGAGCTGGCTCGTTTCACGGACCTGCGCACCGCCTGTCTGGTGGGTGGTGACTCCATGGAGGTGCAGTTCGAGGAGCTGGCGGCCAACCCGGACATCATCGTGGCTACACCAGGTGGGGGGAGGTGGCGGGGCGGGAACGAGGAAGCGGCGGAGTGGCGCCGGAGTGGCAGGGAGAAAGGAACGGAAACCCCGTTAAAACGGGAAGGGTGGTATGGAAAGACCGCTGGGCGGCCCGGAAGGTGTTCTGGGAACTAAAAGTACTGCCGGTGTAAATTAGCTGTGGGTAGGCAGGCGGGGGGAGAGTTATCGGGAACGGAGCACCGCAAAGTCGGGCTGGGCAGAGGCCCGGTCGTGAAGCGTCCCAGAGGGCGCTGCAACGCAGAGGGCATGGTCACACGGAATCACCGGGCGGTGGTCCAAATAGAGCGTCAGTGGACAGGATGACAGGATGGCGGGTGGAAAATAAAAGTGTACCTCCGTGTTCGGGACACGGATTTGCATGTGGGCTTGAGAGCTGGGGTTGTTCCCGAGACTCACACATGCACACACACGGACATATGGCCCACACATCTCCTCACTGAAGGCTCATCGACCGCTCCAATGCCCCCTGGAGCACTGTGTCGGACGTCGTCACCTGCGGTAGTGTCAGAGCATTACGGCTCCGGTTACTACTGAAGTAACTGAAGTAACCTGCTGAGTGAGCATTCCACATTCCTTAAGACGAAGTCCTTGTGGCGGCTTCCTCACCTGGTGGCTCACAACCCCAACCCGTCGGCCCCGTGTCCGGAGTACTGTACCCCCGACAACCGCTTGCTTAGCTCACTCACCTGCACCGCCTCTTTCCCCTCCCCTCGCGCCTCTTTTCCTCCCCCTGGCAGGTCGTCTGGCGCACCACTTGGAGGAGGTTGAGGGGCTCAGTCTGAGATCTGTGGAGTATTGCGTGTGCGATGAGGCGGATCGCATGTTTGAGATGGGCTTCATTATACAGGTGGGAAGTGTTGCAGTGTGGAGGGATGGGGTGGAGAGTGTGAAAGTGCTGTTTGGCGAGGGGAGTGGCCACCCCGGGCGGTGTGGGGCGGTAATGGGCGTGCTTTGGGCTTGTGGGCTGCCCTGGGGTCCCGCAGTGGCCAGAACGGGGTTGGGAGTCGGCGGGCGTGTAGTCGTGGGCAAATCGCCACGCCCCTCTCGCGTGCTGTCTTCTGCCTTGCTGACTAACACTGCCTTTGGCTCATTTCCCCTGGGGCCTCACCCCCCCACACACACACTCCCATCTGTGGCCCGTCTTATACCTCACCCTCACCCCTGTGTTGCTGTCCGGTCCCAGTTCGCCAGCAGCGAAACTCCCGCGCGGTAACATCCACTGCATGAGTCATAACCCACTCTCTAACACACCCCACCCCACCCCGCCCAGCGCGCACCTCCCTGCTTTATCCCGCTCTTCATCTCCCCACTTTCCGGCCCTGGCCATCCCCACCAATTCAGGTTTCGGAGCTGCTCCGCAAGATGAGTCCCGCCCGGCAGACGCTGCTGTTCAGCGCCACCATGCCGGCGACCCTGGCGGAGTTCGCCCAGGCGGGGCTCAATGCGCCCCAGCTGGTGCGGCTGGATACGGAGCGGCGGATTAGCCCGCAGCTGGGACTGGCCTTCTTCACGTGCAGGTGAGATGGCGAGGGGGGGCCGCGGAGGGGGACCGCGAGGGGAAGAGTCCCCATCCTCCCGGGCCTTGGACACCGAAAGGGGTTTCTGCATCTGCACCTGTGGCTCCCTCCTAGGAGTTCTGTCAGGACTCCTAGGGCACGTGGCGGCTTTGCGTTGTGGGTCATCTGGGTTCTCTGCCGCCCTTGCCTGTGCCTCGCTAAGGAGCTAAACTCTCAGTCGACCACGTTGGTAATTGTCGCTTCTGACTTTGGCACTTGATCCTTCTCAAGGAGCTCACGAGGCCTCATATTTGACCCTAAGTTACTTGACCCTTGAACCCTCTTCCTGGTCGTCTTGCATTCCTGATCATCATCATCATCATCATTATCTCACTACCCCCTTTTTCTTCCACCGCCCGCCCACTTGTGCATGCACTGCCCCTTGCCAGGATGGAGGACAAGGTGGCCGCGCTGCTGCACCTGGTTCGGGAGGTGGTGCCCGCTAAGCAGCTGACCATCCTCTTCACCGCCACCCGCCATCATGCGGAATTCCTGTACAACCTGCTGCTCAAGGAGGGGGTGGACGCGGCGTGTGTGTTTGGAAGCATGGACCAGGTACATACAGGGGGCGGAGCAAAACGTCCGTGAAGGCGTACTAGGCGTACTTTTCGTTGGTTGTCGGTTGTTGTCGGCTGGGTAGGTCGTTGGGTGTTCGGCTCAACGGCGTCCTCCCCTTCCTTCCTCTTCCTTGTTTTGGTCAGCAGATGCCCTCTGCCCTCTCAGCCGCCCTGCGTGTCCCTCTGCCCTCTCCTTCCCCTCCCTTTTCCCCGGCATCAGCTTCACTCGTTCGTGGTTCGTCTTCCCCCCCCCCCCCCGCAGACTGCCCGCAAGATCCACGTCGCCAAGTTCCGCGGCGGGCGGTGCCACCTGCTGGTCACCACGGATGTGGCAGCGCGTGGTATCGACATCCCCCTCATTGACAACGTAATCAACTTTGACTTCCCGCCAAAGCCTGAGCTGTTTGTGCACCGAGTCGGCCGCGCTGCGCGTATGGGCCGCTCCGGAACCGCCTACTCACTGCTGACGCGGGACGAGCTGCCGTACCTGCTGGACCTGCACCTGTATCTGTCCAGGTATGTGTGTGTATGTGTGCTTTGAGCCGTACAAAGGGAGACATGGGTTGGAACCCGGGCGGGAGCGAGCGGGCGCGGAGTTTGGGTCGTTGTGGGACGGGCTCTTGGGAGGGTGGTGTCTGTTTGTCTGTATGTCGCATACGCATCGGTACATGGTGGGAAATCATCTTCTGTAGCCTGATTGGTTGCCCGGGTCCTTTGCGTCCCTGGGATTGGAGGGCACGTCCCTCTCCGCAACTGGTGCAACTGCGCAACTGCCGGGGGGCGGGCGATATGAGGCGCTTGTTGCACGGCTGATGTGTAAGAGGTGAAAGGGCTGGTGGGCGTTTGGTGCTGTAGTCATTACTTTACGTCACATGTTTCCTGTTGTAGCCCGCCCTCCCGCCGGCTCCCCTTCTGAACCCACTTTTGGTTCACCGGCCTGACACCGCCTGACACCGCTAGTGCCGCTCCTCCTATTTCTCCTCCTATTCCTCATCATCATCATCATGCCCCGCCTCCCGCTTCTCCTCCAACTGCCTCCTTTGGCGCCGCTGCAACCTCTCTTCAGATCCGTCAAACCAGCGCCGCTGGTCCCCGAAGCGGGGCCCCTGCCAGCAGATGAGGCTGCGGACGCCGCAGCCCTAGTCGCCGCCGCCGCCGCCAACTCCGAAGACTCCACGTACGGCACGCTGCCTGCCGTCGTTCTCGACCCGTTGATCGAGCATGTGCGCGAGGTGGTGGCCTCCGCCGCTGACCTGGATGGCATGCAGCGCACGCTAGCGAACGCGTGGGGCATGTATTGCAAGACCCGGCCGCAGCCCAGTGCGCAGAGCGTGAGGCGGGCGCGAGCGCTGGCCAAGGAGGGGGTCCATCCGCTGCTGCTGGCGCTGCTGCCGAAGACCAAGTACACCCAGATAGAGGTGCGAAGTCGTAGGGGTTGCTGGGCGTGAGTGCGCGCTGGGCTCCGTGTGGTGGCGGACCTCAGGGGGCCATCGCCGATTGTCGCCCCCTCGAGAGAGGTAACTTGAAGGCCCCTCTCGCTCCCCTTCGCCAAGCGCCTGTCCCGCCCTTCCTTTCCGGCGTTTCGGGGGTTCGTTTGTCGCGCCCGTGGGCCCACAGCCCTCGTCGTCCTCCTTGTCCCCCTCCCGCCCTGGGTTACCCCTCCCTGCACCACCGTCGTGTGGGTGAACTCAATAACATATCTACAGGTGGTTGGATGGCCAGATGGAGGTCACTCTTGAAGTACATCAGGTAGCCGACGAGGGGGGGTGTTTGCTGACCCTTCCGCATGTATATCTGTGTCTGTGTGCAGAACGAGGTCGCGCTAGCTCAGTTTACGGAGCGGCTCAAGACCTTCCGTCCGACAGCCACGGTGTTTGAGGCGGAGATTGCCCGGGTCAAGTCCACCTTCACCAACCCGCTGTTGCTGGAGGGGGGTAGCGCCAGTCTGGGCCGCGGAGGCAAGAGCACTGACGTCATGGCGACCAAGCGGGCGGCCCATGCGCACATCATTGAGAAGGAGAGGCAGAAGAAGGTGAGCGCGGCCGCGGACGTGCGCGGTGGCTGTGGAGACTACTGGGGGAGGGCAGGCGGGAGGGTCAGACGCAGTTGCAGTTGCAAACAAGTGGCCTGTTTCCAGCTTGACCATCGCGGCATCTACCAGACATCGCTTATTACAAGTCGAAGGTGTAACACGAGTACAATTACCTTAACTCCGCACCCGTCCTAGCTCTTTGACTCAGTGATGGTGGTGGTTATGATGGTGGTTATGATGGTGGCTGTTGTGGTGGTGTCTCATGGGTCGTAGATGCGGCTCATGGCGCCGGAGGAGCAGCGTGGAGACCAGCAGGACCCGAAGGAGAAGGCCGATGACAAGCGGCGCACCACCACGCGGGGATCTGCGGGGCCGGAGGAGGACACGGGAGAGGAGGAGGAGGCGGACGGCGGGTGCTCAGATGACGACGATGCTGATGTGGACGATGACCTGGGCACATCGGATGGGGGGAGGGAAGACGAGGATGAAGATGAGGACAACGAGGATGAAGGTGACGACGGGAGGCAGGTAAAGGCGGGGCAGGCAGGGCCAAGCGGCCGCGGCGGCGGCGGCCGCGACAGCGCCAAACAAGCCGCCGCGGCAGCGGCGGCGTTTGGCGACGGTGTGGCTTCGGAGGGCCGATTCCGCGACCCTTCATTGTACATCAGCCACGTTAGGGATGGGCGGCATCGTGATGAGGCGTTTGATGTGGAGACGCGGGTGGCGGAGCTGCAGGCGGCAGTGCTGGACCTGACAGCGGAGGACCAGCAAGGTGGGAGGGGGCCCGTCGTGCCGCCGCATAGCGAGCTGCGCTTGCTGCGCGTTGCTTGTGCGTGTTTGTGTGTCGTCTGGGGGAAGGAATGTCTGCGCGGACGGGATTGAAGCGTTGTCGGGGGTCGTGAAGAGCATGAAGTGCGATTACCAGGAGGCGCGGGAGGCCTGGAGGGATTGGCTTGGGGGCCGGTGCTATGCGGCTGGAGGCGGGGTGAGGGGGAAGGTGGTGTGCACTCGTGCAGGAGGAGCCCCGAGGCATTTTGCGATGTTTCTTTCCCTCCCTCCGTCCGTCCTCCCTCCGTCCGTCCCTGCCCGACTGACTCTTTTAGAGACCCTTTCCTTCCCATCCACCCCGCGAACGTCTGATCTGTCTTGATGTCCCAGCTGGTAATGGTGATGTGCCTCTCCTTCCCTTATCATACCCCACACACCACGTTATTCCTTTTCCTGTGGCCTGGGCACTCGCTCTCTTTCTGTCTTACCCTCTCCTACCCTCTCTCTATTACACTCTCTCTATTACCCTCTCTCTATTACACTCTCTCTCAGGCATGACGGACTCCAAGCGGCGCTACCACTGGGACAAGCGCAGCAAGAAATACGTGCTTCGATCGACTGAGGACACACAGCGCAAGGGCCGCAAGCTGCGCAACGAAGCGGGCAAAGTTGTGCAGGTGGGTGAGAGCCGCGACAGCTCGGAAGTATTGTGTGCATTGTGTGTGTGTGTGCGTTGTGAGGGGGGACAAGAGGGAACCACTAGATAATCATCTTGGGCTGCGATTGAAAACTGGCAGTCCACGTTTCTGGTTGTTGCCTAGCAGCATTGAGTTACGGAGGGCGGTTAGTGCCGTACACAACACCTGGTGACGAGTCCGATGCTTTAAGAGCGGTGCCACACTCTGCTGCCGCTGCTGCCCCTGTTGCTATTGTAATTGTCGGGCTCCTCTCTCTCTGCCTCCCCGTTGCAGCAGTTGTAGCTGGCCCGGTATTCCCGCACTCTCCTCGAGCACCTCCTCTCCTACTTGTTGCGCACATGTGTGCGACTCGTCTTTTTGCGGTTGCAGGTCAAGGAGGGTGAGCGCGGCGAATTGTACCGCAAGTGGTCCAAGGCGCACCACAAGCGGGTGGCGGCAGCGGGTGACGAGGAGGACACGGAGCGAGGGGGCAGCGGTGGCCTGGGGGGACGGTTCGACCGGAAGAACCGCCACACCAACTTCCGTCGGGGGAGCTCTCCGGGGACTGGCGCAGATGCGGGAGGCCGCGGTGGCAAGTCGGGCAGGGGCGGCAGGGGCGGCAAGGGCGGGGACCAGCCTAAGGGAGCGCGCAATGCCGGGCTGAAAACGGAGGACCAGGTGAGTGAGTCAGTTGTGGGGAGTCCCCGTGAGGGGGTGTAGGAGAGGAGAGCGGAGGGGGCTCAGGTTGGGAGGCCTTGCGCACGAGGAAAGAGGCGGAGAAAGAGGGACGCAACGCCAAAAGCTGTATATTTGTGTAAGTCGCTCTCATGCCTTGAAGCAAGGGCTACACCTTTAATAGGGGCAAGCCGCGATGCAGGGCTTTGTATGGACCAGGGTTGAGTTCTCCTGGTTTGTCAGTCACTGTCGGGGCTGTTTGGGGCCTGCGTGCGATCCTTGCAGGTGCGCAAGGAGCGGAAAAAAGGGGAGCGGCGCAAGGCTTGGCTGGCGCTCAAGCAGCAGCAAGGCGGCAAGGGCAAGGGCGGCGACGACCGCGGCAGCCGGGGTGGCGGTGGCCGCGGGGGCCCCGCCAGAGCCGGGCGGGGGGGAGGCCTGGGAGTACGTGGAGGGGGCGTCAACAAGGGCGGTCGCAGCGGTGCAAGGGCCGGAAAAAGGCGATGACCGAATATGCATAACAGTCGGACATGCAAGAGGAATGAAATATTCGAGATGGCGTGAAAGTGTCGACTCCTGTTTCGATATGTCCAAATTGAATTTTCGAATGGTTTCTCTTCCGTGGACGTTATATGGAGGTCGTTGCTCGCACGCTTTTCCAATTAACGTAAGACAAATTCTATCGCATCTGGCGGATCATTCATTGTTCTACAGATCTACGTTCTTTAATCAGGATGCTTATTCGCTTTTATGAGCGCAGCGCGATCGCAGCAGGTCGCCAAGCGGGACAGCGGCAAGTCATTCCGCGTGTCAAGCATCTTTATAATCATTCCCGTTTCGGGCAGAATGAACGCGTGCGCACAAAGGCCGCCGGATTTTGGGATAGGGTCTTCGGGACATTTAAGAAGGATTCGGAAGATGTGCTTGCCAGGTCCGTAATGCTTGGTAATCACGTGTAACCTTAACTGCCTTCCCAGCTTGTTGATTTGCATACTGCATGTAGGAACAAGCTCCGAGAAGCCAGCAGAGAGCTTTTACAAATGCTGTGTGCCACTGAGGCACCCGACCTCTTAAGGATTGATGAGCTTTTAGATGCAATCGCAGAAGGCCAACCATTCATGGAGACCTCGCTGGGTGGAGGGCCATGGGTGGTAAGTACAACAGGGTGGAGGTAGCGACCACCTCCCTGCAAATTGCACATGGCAACGCGCGAGCCTTTGCGCGTCCCTGAGCTGCCTTGGAGCAGCTTTAATATAACGGATATCGTAAACCTTTATCACATAATATCTGGCCCGGAACCTTGCAGGTTCGCTATACGCGGGGCAAGCCATTCTTATGGAACATCACCTACAACACGGGGCGTCTGCTCAACGGCCGTAACCGCGCAGCCCAGGAATTCGACCCCGCTACCCGCTCAGCGGTAAACCTGCTGGAAATCAACGGACCCAATAACCGTATTGAGGCGTACGGCACGTACGAACCTGTGGTGAGCTTTGTTGCAAAGCTTCCCGCGATGGTGCATCGCAACTTGCCGAGCTTGCGGCGACTGTGCAACATCGAAATTTTTCCCAATCCAACAGTCCCATTGCATTATTCGCCTTGCTTTCAGGACGACAGCCCGATGACACCCAAGACCATTCGCGCCAAGATCAACTCGGGGCGGCTTTTCCTGGGGACCTGGGAGTTGCAACTGTCCATCTTTGGGACGGGCTATTTTGATGTGATGTACGTGGACGAGTCGCTACGAGTATTCCGGAGCAACGGCCGCTTTGCCGTACAGGTCCGTGCAGACCTGCTCCAGGATTGATGTAGCGGCTGGGCCGGCGGCGTTGCTCGGCCTGGTGTAGGGCGATGGGGCCATGAGCAGGGTGTAATGAAAAGCCAGCAACACTTTATTTTCGTGTTTATGATGACGAATGAAGTTATATGGAGTGCATGAGCAGGTAGGGTGGCGCGGGGCGAACCCATAGGTAGGCATGAGCGCATGATAAAGGAGATGGAGACCGGGGCGTAGAAGCCCCTTTGGCAACGAACATGTGTACGGAGGTTAAATATGACGGCTTCACGGCTGGGGTCCTGTCGCAATCGGAGGATATTAGGTCCGTCTTCACCTGCAGTGTCCATGTGTCCATGTCACAGTGTCCATATCACGTGCAAGCATTGCCGAATGCCCCATTGGTGACCCTCCGTCGTAAATCGTTTGGCTCCTGACCGTAATAGTCAAGTACTGTCAACAAGCTTTCGGTTCTGTCCACAGCCTTTCAGTGCCTTGTTAATACCGATAGTTGCATGCCGTGTGGTCGACTGTCATCCTGGGAGTGGTTATATTGAAGATGCTAGCTGCTAGATGGGAGGTCCCGATGCTGGCTGGTAAAGGAAAAGCAACAAGCATGTGCAAATCTGGTAACAACAATCCTTGAAGCTTAAAAAGTACGCTCAAAACTTCAAGCTGTGAAGTTTTTCGTGGGCCTACAGGCTGGCTCTGCGGAAGGCCAGGTTTGTACGGCCAGCGTACGGCTCTTCGAGTCTTTCCGTCAGCTTTGACACACCGGGTTTTCGTCAAATGATCCAACAAAGCGCACTGAAAACCTGGGGCGCGTGAAATAAGGTACACGACTACTAAGTTTGCTCGGACCGAACCTATGGAGAGTTAGTAGATCAGGCATAATTTTATTCCCTCCATAATGAAAGCTTGAGCAACTCCTCTTTGCACGATTCACGCCCTTCTGACTTGTACCATCTTTTCATACTCAAGCTGTTGAGGTTAAATAACAGTGTCTTTGTTGTGTTGAAGAGCTTCGATATAAAGCGGAAATGCCGAAAAAGGTATGTAAATGGAAGTCCTTTTTAAATGCTTCCATAACCGCGGACCGGGACGACATGGTCTTTCGCTGGCCCGACAGGCGAAGAAGGGTCCTCCCCTCATCACAGCTGAGGAGGATCTTGCTGCTTTCGGCTTTAAACTCAGTGACATCGTGCGCACGCCCCTGGGGATAACTGCGACAGTCATCGGCGTAAAGTAAGCATCCTGGCATAGGTTTCCCTGTCCTATAACCCCCTAGCATTTCCCTTGCCGTGTACCTTGCAAGGATGCCCTGCTGTTGGTACCCCACACGTACTTACAGCGATGTAAGGAGATTTGAGATGTTGTCATACACATTATTCGAGCACTCAGCTAGTAGTACTACTATTAGTAGTACTAGCAGTACTAGTAGTACTACTAATTCTACTACTAGTAGTAGGAGTAGTAGGTATTACAGCGATCCCCAGACCCAGCCATCGGGCCACAACGGACCATGCACTGCGCTGGGAAACCTAGGAAACTCAGCCAGCTTTCAGCCTATGGCCTCTGAATGCCCAAGACGCCGAACCCCGCCTAAGTCTTTTGACCCTCCAACAGTGGGGAAAGGCTTACAGGAATGCCAGAACATGCGCACACGTTTCCCCTTCCCTACTGGCACCCTACACCCTACCTCAACTTGCATACTAACCCACGTATACTAACCCACCTTCGTACGCTCCGTGTACGAAGGTACGAAAGTGCGGACGACAAGTCCACGGGGCGTGTATGGGTGAAGTATGAAAATGGTCACGAGGCCCCGCTGGAGCCCAAGCTTAACGCGGGTTTCATGTCCGCCCTGGGATATCGCAAGTGCTCGGAGGCTGACCACATCCGGAGGGACGTGGGCATGCATATGGCAGAGCAGAAGAAGCAGGACGAAGAGCGGTGGGTCCCGAACGCTTGTGCACCGGAAAAGTGACGCACGTGGTTGACGACACTGTTTATTTGGGCGGAGGGTTAGATAGCCAGCAGGGTCGCGCGTTATGGGAGACATTCGGGCGCGCGGGAAGTGTCTTGTTGGGGTCGTTTATCCCTTGCCACAGCAATCTGACCCCTTTCCCCTGCTTGCGTCCGTCCATTTATTGGCTGTTGCAGGAAGGTGGTTGAGGAGGTGTTACGTTGCAAGGAGCAGGGGCTGCCTATTCCTGAGCACCTGCTACCCAAGCCCAAGACCACGAAAAAGAAAACAGACGCAAAAAAGAAAAAGTAGCGGGATGGCGTGTCTGCTGCTGCTGAGGGAAGATCCGTTGTACGGACACATACATACACACAGAAGGCTTGTTCAAAGGCCCTTTGAGGGCAAGCATCTTGGTCGTTCGGTGTCCGCAACCAACAGGTGGTGTAGGTGGTGTGCACAGCCAGTGCTGGGGGCACCTGTTTCTGCCACCTGCCACCTGCCGCCTGCCAGTTCGCCCGAGGGAACGTGGAGGGCAACGTTTATTTAGTCTCTTACGGGTGCAGAGAGTGGCGGGACTTCACGATTTCGGATACCCGAAGCATGCAATGCTGTTGCTGTTTGAGCTGCGGGCATCTCCCGAGCCCGGCGGCGGGAAACTGTTGTGGCATTGGGTATATAGATGAAATGCATAGATGTGCCGAAGCATGGCACGGGTTCATACGCGTAACAGGCTTGCGAACCGCGTGCAAGTTTTGACCTTGTAGCAGTAAGGTAAATTTGTCATACGCTTCTGCAAAGAATGTATGCAGAGGTGAATAGGAAGAGAGTGGCAGCGGTACATGTGCATGGACGGCTGGATGGGGGCTACGATGCGTATGGGCGGCTGCGGATGGGGCAGCACACACAGTGTGGGCCCAAGTGGTGGTGCATTTGCCTGGCATTCGCTCTCACACGTGCCACTATGCACGGCTGCTTGGTGCCTGGCGGTTACTGTCTTAGCTTAGGTAGCCTGTGTTGTGAATAGCTTGGAAAGGGACGCACGAGCGTCCCTGCTGAACTGTGGCAAGAGGATTTTCGTGTCTTGGGCGCGTGTCGTGTTATGGGGACCCCTATAATGGAGAGCACAGGGTGTAAAGAGGACGTAGCATGCATGCAGACGCACTAGCTCGCGGGTTTGACATTCTTCTCGGCCCTCTCCACCTTTGCAAATTTTCCCCTGCTGGCGCCGGTAGCGCCTTCCAAACCTTTTAACACGCAATACTGCGTGCAGGGCGTCTTTCTCTGAGCGGGCGGTCTGGTTGGCTGATAGACCTGCCGCTCTAGTTCATCTAGTGGTGCTTTGGAACTGGCGGCCTGGGGCTGTGGAGGCATGTGGATCGGGCGGCGGACAAATGGCTTGCGGGCGGACTGGGGATAAGTTCACCAGGGACGGTTCGGAGGACGCTTCGAATCGCAAGTTGGAATGCCCAACTGCATAACCTTCGAGTTGACTTAGGATTGAAGCGGACAATGAGGAGCACGAACTGTTACATAATTTTGTCTGGGGCCGGTGTGAGCTGACCAAAGGCAAAAAGAATGGCAACGAGCACTCCAGACAAATTAAAAACACAAACCTTTTACGTACTACGAATCAATGTAGGACCTGTGCGCACCACCGTGTCGCTGGTGTGACCCAAAAATTACCAGCGTGCAAAAACGCAGCCATACTCACGGAGGAGCCCCGCGACGAATTAAAAATGTGTGTTCCGGCGCAAATGCTTGTGCAGGTTTGCAGCCCTCTCGGCCATGCCCCCCAACACTCGGTAAAGACGCTCGTCTCTCTTTCTCGGCGACAACTCTCATATACCTTTCAGCAATCACCAAACCCTCGACAAAAACGATGCAGGGCAGCAAGACGCAATCGGGACGGCGCCGCTTATTGGAAGATGTTGCTCTCGAATGCCGGCCAGATCCGTACACCGGGCACTCGTTGCAACTGCTACATAGGCACCTTCGAACCGCCCAAAACTTCAACAGTGAAACAATGCTTGGAAACGTTTTTATGCTCTCGGCATCTTTCTTAAAAGTAACCCTATGAAACGCAAGGGGTAAAAAAAGCAAAAAGGCCTGCGGGCAGTGTTCCCCGAAAAGCGGCGGCGGTTATAAACGAAATAAGCGGCAAGCGTTTTCCTTCCCTTCACCTATACACACCACACAGCCTACAATCATTAATACGCGTCTGTCCACAACTAAAACTATTCGACGCGCTATCCTATACACGCCGACATAACCCCACCAACTGACCCAGCGAAAGACGCAGCAGGGCAAAGTCAACGTTAAATACACACTCACGGGTGCGCCCGTTAAAGAAATCATGGAATAACTTATCAAAGCTTGGGGGTTTACCACCGCAATTTTGCAACCGACGGGTCATGTGCAGCCCAATCCAGCATGGCGCCTGCGCCTCCATGCCCCTGCGCCTCCATGAGTGCCAAACGCCTTTGCTGTGCGCCTGCCGGACATAAGCAAGCGCAGCAAGAGCTGAGCTGCAGGCCATTCCCTACCCAAAGCCTCTGGTCCATAACCCCGCAACATGAACACAATTGCCCATGGAAGGCAGTGGTAGAAGCCCACTGGCTCCGGCAAGTTCATCGTTGCGGATTTCCCATGGTACAGGCGCCGCCGCCGCAGCAAAAAGCAGCAAAGGTATGTGCGCATGCACAGAGGCTAAAGGGGCTTCTGTTGAGGACAAGGCGGCCATGGGATCAGAACATGGAGGCGCATCCACCCGCCCGCTTCCAAGGCTCTACTTCCACGACCGCTAGGGAGCAGGGCCCCGCCGGCTGGGCGAGGTCCTGCAGCGCTCTCCTTCCAGTCCTGCCCGTCTCCGGCTCCGCCGGGGTCACTTACGGTTGGCCGTTTCTGCAGCGTCGCATCTCGCCGTACTAACAGCTTGCGGTGGCAGTTTGTAGCACACACAACGTTGCGTGACCCATGCACACGACGGATCGCGCACACAGTCGACTCACGACAGGTCATAACCAACAAATGCATGCGTTAAATTTAATGTACACAACACAAATTCGACGAGCACAAATTCGTACATTCGACACTCCTGACGATCGCGCGAGTACTCACAGACCCCTTGCATTCCCCCCTTTCTGAGCCACGTTTTACCTCCCTCACTCCCTCACTCCCTCTCTCACTCATCCGCTAAGCCGCACCGCACACACGCCGCACCTCACCCGTCGGATTGTGCCTTGCTCACAATCTCTGTGCCGGACATGCCATGCCATGACTGCAGGCACTCTCCTCCTTCGGCCCTCTAGCTGCAGTCCTCTCTGCAGTCCCCCCTAGCTCCCGCTAAACTACGGAACAGCCATCAGCACAGGAACGTGGTGATCGGCGTACTAGGGTGCTCAGGACCTCTGGGCCGCGGCCATCGCGGGCCCGCTGCTTATTCTTGGGGAGCTGCTGCCCCCGTTGAGACGGCGCTGGTTCTCTTGGATAAGGAAAGCAATGATGCAAAACAGGGCAAGAATGAATTCCCATGGCTCTCCGCGTTGCCGTTGCTTCATGCCGCTATACCGCACTCGCCATGCCCGCCTGGCCCTCCCCCCTTCCCATGGCTCTCCGCAACAACTAAAGGTCAACAGCACATGCTGCCACTCTACATTGGAATGAACAATGAAATGGTTTCTCTAGCAGCTCTAGAATTTTCTTCGCATCGTCGCAACGTCCCCACGTCCTCATCGACATTGTCCGCTGGCAAGGCCGTGACCTCGGAAGTCTGTACAGGAAGGCCACGTCAACGGATACCTCATTCACTCATTCACTCAAACAACAAACCCTCTCCTAGTCCCTCGCGCCCGTTTCCAACCGACCAACTGATGTCCTAAATCCGACTCAGAGCCGAGCCTCTGCTCACGCGCAGCACCCCCAAGAAAACTTTAAATTTAAATAAAGCTGCGACCCCCCCGTGACAAGTAGTCGTGGCCCATATCAACCAGCCGACAGTCGCCAGGAAGTGGCCCCGCCAGCAGCTCACTAAGGCGGAGGGATACCCCTCCTTCCCCTCCTCCTCCTCCTCCTCCTCCTCCTCCACCTCTTCCAATCCTCAGCCTCCCTATAGGGCACTGACAGCCATGTTTTTCAACCGGCTTACTCGCTGCTTCAACGTACCGGGCGTTCCTGCCGTGTGCTCTGCTCAGAAGCCCTCCGGTAGTGCGCCCGTGACATCGGCTCCGGCACATGCGGTCGCCCCGCCGAGCGGCGCCCTCCTGCCGGCCACGTCAGCCGCGTCCCATACACCATCGCCCACATTCACCAGGATGGCCTCCATTGCCTGGGCGCTGCCAGTCTGCATGCCGCATTGCGGCTGCGGCTGCTGCGGCTGCGGCTGCTGCTGCCACTGTGGGAGCCGTTGGTTCGGCTCCGGGTCCATGTCGCCCTGTGGCACCGGGGGCTGGGTCCGCATGCTGGTGCCCTCCAGGGCGGTGTCCACGTGATGATGGTGGTGATGGTGGTGGTGGTGTGGTGGTTGCGAAGTTCGACCAGCAACGGGCGTATCGTCGTACGGAGACAACAGACCGCCGCCGCTTGCGCCGTCCAGGGCTCTCGCACCGCCGCCGCCACCGCTGCCACCGCTGCCGCCGCTGCCGCCGCTGCCGCCCCCCGTTAACCTCGTGCCGCCGCCGCGGTGCGCAAGCCCGGCCTGGGTACGGCAATACGTGTGGCGGCCGCTGCCCGGCAGGTTTGTGGAAGCACCATTACCGTTGGATCCGTTGTCGTTGTTACCGTTGCTGCCGTGGCCATGGCTGCCGTTGCCATTGGAGCCCTGCCCGTTGCCATGGCTGCCATTGCCTTGGCTCCCGTTGCCGTTACCTCCCTCGTTGCTACGACTCCCCCCATTGCCGCCATGGCCGCCCTCGTTGCTCCCGACCCCGCTTCGGGGCCCCGTGCCGCTGTTGTTGTGTCCCGTGTCGTTGCCCCCTTGCTTGCTACTGCCCTGCTCCAAGATATACGCCAAGTGTGAGGGTAACGAACCGGCTGGTTGCTGCTGGGCCGGCGGGGTACCGCCAACGGCACGAGCCGACTGCTGCTCACGTAGCGCACCGGGCGGCGTCCGATTTCGATTTCCACTGCCGCCAACCTCTCCGTCCTCTCCCTCCGTCGCACCGTGCGAGCCGTTATCGGCGTTGGAGCCGTCGCCGCCGCCGCCGCCGCCGCGACAAGGCTGTGCAAGTCCCGCACCGCCGGCGGCGGCGGCAGAAGCAGGATTTGCGCCGGGGACAGGACCGTGAGGTCCCGAGGAGCTTGCCGTACGAGGGGCCTTGTGGGGAGGCTGAGGCAACATGCCGCCGCCTCCGCCGGCAGCGCCTCCGCCGCCGCTGCCTGCGTCAGGCTGCCGTGCGGCAGCCATTGCAGCCGTTGCTGCCGTGACAGCCGCACCACCGCCTCCGCCGTTCTGCATCTCGGCCCGCTGCCGCTTATGACCTACGCCCGAAGGTACGGCAGCTGCACCTGCGTGCTCTGCAACCATGTACCCCTGGACTGTCGCCATAGCTTGACCGAAGCTGGGCGGATCCGGCTGGGCAACGGAGAAGGATCGTGCGCCGCCGCAAATCATGCCGCCGCCGCCGGCACCGCCCATGCCCTGTACGTTTAGGGCATCGCCGTCGCGGCCCATGCCCAGACGGCCCTCGCCGTCGGAGGGTGCCATTGGCTGACCCATGGGTCCATCCGCTGGTGCGGTTCCTGGCTCGTTGCTGCCTTCGTCCGAAGCGTTCATGCTGCCGTCGTACGCGTCATTGGATGTGCCGCTCTTGTTGCCGCCGATGCTACCACCTCCGGAGCCGCCGGAGCCGCCGCCGCTGCTGGGCGTCGCCTCCGTTGGCACGTGGTGTCCGTGAGCTGTACGGCCCACCGGCAGTGGCGCTGCTCCAGCTGCACCGCAGCCACCGCCGCCGTGCAGTTGCAGCTTACCCGGTGCCTCGTGACCAATCCTGGGGAGTTTGCTAGGCGGCATCGCGCCTGCGGCGCCAGCGGCATCGCCGGCGCCGGCGCTGTTGCCTCCGGCCATGACCCCGCCAGCACCTGCGCCGTCCTCACCGTCCTTGCCACTGCTGGTTGCGGTGTCCTGCTGCTCAGTTCCCAAGCCGCCGCCTGGCGCCAATCCGTCCTTGTTGCAGTATTCACGTGACGGCCTCGGGCAGTGATTGGCCTCCTCGCCGCCGCTCTTATCGCCGCCGCAATGGAATCCGGAACTGCTAGCTCCGCTGCCCACACTGCGCTGCGGGCTGTGGCCGCGATGGTGCCGGCGACGAGACGGCTTGTGCCGCGGGGCAGCGGCGCCAACGCGCTGCGTGGCACCGGCGGCCGTGGCCGCCGCCGCTGCATGGTTGCCATAGAGCTCGCTGACGTTGCGCTTGCCGGACGCCACAACGCCGCCGGCGCCTTGCCCAACCTTCCCTACGGCCCTGTCGCCACCGCTACCGCCTGACTCCGGCACGTAACCAAGGTTGTTGCGGCCACCGCCGCTGACGCCGCCATCGACCCTGCCGAA